CCGCCCCCACAACACCAACCCCCCATGCATCCCCCGCTACCACACACACGAGCAGGGCCACACGAACACAAAGCATCCGCGTGGCTGCGAGTGAGGTTTATTTTCCCAGCATCACGTCGAGAAACAAATGGAGCATGTTGGGCCAGCTGAGACCAGCTCGCTGCAGTCTTATCTTGAAATACTGACTCCTGTTATCAAGTGGCTGCAAGTCCTTTTAGAGCCTGAGCTGCTGTTTTTATCGTGATTCTTACAACAAATTCTATTTGGAGGGGCGGGGGGGGTCTCCGCATGCCCGATAAATTTCCAATTTTTGGAAGCATGTGCATGCTTGGAGAAAATGTATATACAGTGGTACCTTGACTTACAATTGTTTTGTTTTGGGGGTTTTTTTGGGGAGTGATTTTGTTTGGTTTTGTTTCGTGTTACAAGCAACGTTTTGAAGCTTTGCCACATCCAATCACCAACAGTTCACATGATTACCTCGCAGTGAAAGTGTTCTGTGGGCGCATTTTCCAATTTTTTGGAGCAGGTATTTTGCCAAATATATTTTTTCGAACTATGGGTCCTGTGAAAGACAGCAGATGCTGTCCTTGAAGCTAAAACTTGACAACAATTACACTCACCTCATTTTGCTCCTCCAAGTCCCCTTCAAAAGAGTGATGATGTCAATTCCAGAAGATGAAATAGAAACTATAAAAAATAAAAATGAAAAAAAAAAAACAGATCTCATCATGAACATTTCATTTACTTCAAAGACACTGTAAAGTCAATTCAGATATTTCTTTTGAAAGATGTGCCTTATGGGAAAAAAAAATGTGCGAGACTGAGAATAATGTACCTATATATGTAGAAAATTAGCATTACACCGATTTGGCTAGTTCAGTAGTCGTGTGTGTGTGTGTGTGTGTGTGTGTGTGTGTGTGTGTGTGTGTGTGTGTGTGTGTGTGTGTGTGTGTGTGTGTGTGTGTTTTGACTAAAATGGCGGCCAACACACTGGGGCATCTAGCATGAGTTCCCATAGGTTTTCTTATTACAGTGCACATTCGCTGTTTCGAGGGGTAATAGGGACTAAGCCAGCCTGCGAGTACCAAAAATCCAAACATCCATGTATATCTGACACCCATTATGAATGAATTTTTTATTTTTTTTATTTATTTTTTTTAACGCAAAAAATCTTGAATAATTCTTGTTTGCGTAATCCATGGTCAGCCGGGATAGGTTCCCACACAACTGCAAACCTGATGAAAGAGCTGAGGAAAATGGATGAATGGATGCTTTTATCCCTTTGTTGTAAAAAAGAATATGTACAAAATATAGTCAGTGCAGTGATTTCTGCAGAAAAAGATGAAGGTTTTTGGTAGGTGCGTGTGTACCGTCTCTGAATCCTGTGTGAATCTACGAAACCTTCAGCGCATCATGCAGAGAGGAAGAGTCTGCAGCCGCAATATTTGAATTTCATTGCATTTGACATTTGATAACGGCGGCGTGCGGTTTTCGATTCCGAAGGGTCCCTATCATGTTTGCTCAGACTTTTAACCCTGCTAGAAAATACAAAAAAAAATCAATGGCATACAAAAGAAGAGCTCAACTATCACAGCGGTATCATGAAGACAAATCCAATTATTGTTTTAGCTTTGCATGAGAAGACACTATACATATCAATCCACCTTCTGGGAATTACCGCTATTTACATAAAAGCTTGTGCCAACACGGCGAAATAAGGAAAACTAAATGTCGCTGTAACAACCATGAGTCCATTACTTCTGAGCATGCATGGGGAAATGAGGCGATGAAAGGAACCTGTGCATTTTTTTTTTGTTTTACATTTGATCCATTAGCCTTGTGCAGCTATAGAAATTACATAGATTATAAAATATATTACAATTTACTATTTTCCACTATATTCATATTTACAAGCCTGCATCAATTTGGCCAAATTATATAGTGACCATTCACGCTCACACTCACACCTAGGGACAATTTAGAGTGTTCAATCAGCCTGCCATGCACGTTTTTGGAATGTGGGAAGAAACCGGAGTACCGAGAGAAAACCCACGCAGGCCCGGGGAGAACATGCAAACTCTACACAGGGAGGCCGGAGCTGGAATCAAACCTGGTACCTCTGCACTGTGAGGTCAACGCGCTAACCACTGGTCCTCCGGGCCACTTGATTAAATAATGAATGTAGTTATTTATCTTTAATGACATTAATGTATTCATTAAATGTGTTTCGTTTAATGACCTTGTTTTGTTTTTCCACTATGTGGTGAATGTTTTAATTTTCGTGCAATACATTATTTTAATTATTTGTTAACCTTCTTTTATTTGACGATCAAAAACTGTCAATTTGGCCAAATCCTTTCAAGACAGTAATGTACAGGGGCTAGAAAACAGCAGTAATTGTAAAAATTAAATGCAATGTAATGATATGTCGTTTATTAAAAAGTTTGTATTGAAATTATTTGTTAGACATGTCGACAATTTGTCCATTTTTAAAACTTGTCTTAAAACACGTTTTTATTCTATGGATTTTGACTCAGAATGAGACTTGGCATTGTTTTAGTGTTTTATGGTGTTTACAGTTTTTAATACGGAAGTTTCACGTTTTGGCATAAGTTTCGTGGGTTTTTTTTCCTGGTGTGGCAGCAATTCGCTAAAGTAATTTAAAGAAATGACCTTGTTGACAATAATTTATTTGCGGAACGTTTGTAATTTAATTCAGTTTAATGTTAGAGTTGTGTTTTAGTGTTTTCAATGTTGATTTTTAGTGCGCGCGCGTTCTTGGTCAAGTGTGGAACATGGTGGTCTCGGGTCGTCGTTTCTTTCCGGTTCGTTTATGTCGACACACCGCATCGGCGCCGTCAATACGGAAGCCTCGCATATATTTCTCCGATTTGTTCCAAATATTATCTGGCTGCCGTCATCTCACTGTTAATTTATATGATTCCTAAAATGAATCTTTTGCATTTCTTATTATTTGTTTATTTTTTGCTTTCACGCATAGTGTCGTAACTTGCGGACTTCGCCGGACATCACTGTACAAGATTTTGAAAGGTAAACATACATTTTTAATCACCTTTTAGAGACAGCAGAAAGTCAGAAGTCACAATACGTCTTAATTTTAATGGCTAAATAACTGCTGGGCCGCCAAATCATCAGTGTTTCAGCTGTAACGCAGTGCTTTACAGAACGTTTAAAATAGAATAACAATACTACAACAGAACACTCACTCTCTCTCTATCTCTCTCTCTCTCTCTCTCTCTCTCTCTCTCTCTCTAGCAAATTAGTTTCAAAAAATAAGCTAGTTTTGTAATTACTCAATGTTGCGACAAGCCGAAAGTCGCAACAACAAAAGTAGTACAGTAGTTGAAGTCTGGTTGGCCCCAGCGTGGGTGCTTAGTCTGCGTGACAGTTTCTGGGTATAAGCTTTGACCTACTTTAATTACTAGTGAGTGTTTTCATTTTGTATTTTGTGTTTCATTATTTGTCCCGTGCAATTAACCCTTAGATGCACGAGTGACTGGACCCTACACTCTTCCATAAGTGGGTCAAAAATGACCCATAATACAATCAATGCTTTTTTTAACGGCAGAAACTGGATCGGTGACTGTTGCTTTCCTTCTTTTTTTTTTTCCACTTCACTTTAGCAGTGGCAGATCTGAGTGTGTCTATGTCGGTAGTCATGATACTTTAACATGGATCTCTCACCTTGACATTCTGCTCCTCAGACCTCCTCGTCAATGACAATGTCTCTGTGGCCCAAGATCTCCGCTGTTCTTCCACCAGACGAAGACCACTTCCCACTGCACTTCAACGACAAGGTGGAGGCGAGCGTGATGGAAATGCTGAGAAGATCCAGACACCAGCTATACACCGGCGCCCCGGCCACAGGCCGCCTGCTCGACGCTCAGATCGTTCTGGACGTGTCGTGGGAGAAACTCAACATGGGAACGTGGCGCCACGTGGACAAGGAGTGGCGCCGGGTCTACTCGTACGGGTGCCTCTTCAAAGTATGCGCCTTGTGCGGAGCGGAACCTTCAGTGGATGACCTTCTGCAGGCAATGCGCACCTGTGACATGGGTTTGCTCATGGGCGCCGCCATCATGGACGATCGACTACAAGTTCTGGTCGGGATTCTGCAAAAAGAAATCAAGAAAGACAACAGAAGTGAAGGCGGGAGAAAGCATACAGAGCGACAGCATACACAGGCCAAGGTCAGTGTGCTCTGGTATGAAAGCTGGGACTTTTTTTTTTTCTCCAACTATAACACCAAAATACTGAGTGGCATGGTGAACAAGTGGTTGTGATATGATTTCAACAGAGGCTGAAGTTGGTACTGCCAGATGTTCCGCTGATCGGAGAAGATCAGGCAATTCCTAGAGTAAAATGCCCGTCTCTGGAGAGCTTCAAGAAGAACTACCTGCTCCCTTCCAAAGCGGTCCTCTTGGAGGGGACCATCGATCACTGGCCAGCCCTCAACCAGCACCCGTGGAGGTTTGGATTACTATTTAATCTGACGGGATTTAACAGATACAGTACATGGAGTTTTCCCATGTGAAATGAAAATGAACAATCTGGAACAAATCCAGATTCAACCTGGGATGACGTTTCAGATTCAGACATTGTTGTCTATTGCAAATGCCATTAAGATTTGATATATTCTGCCAGAGTTGCAATTTTTACTTTGTTTTAGCATGTTTTTAATTTTATTATTATAATAATGATTACTTCAGTTTGCTAGGACTTTTTTCTTTTTTTTACCAATTTTAGTTTTTTTATATACCTCTGATTTTATTGTTCTCTATTTTTGAATTATATTTACTCATTTACTAGTGACTATATTTGGCATTAGTCTTTTAGATTTTTAATATATGGTATTTTCATTCATTTTATATTCATGTTTATTTTTTGGATTTTTAGTTTAAATTTTTCTTTTTTTAATCATTTTATTACTTTTATTTTGAAATGCTTGCTATAAATGTTCTATTCCATTTCTATAGTTTTTCTGATTCTTTTCTTTCAGTTTTTATTATAGTATTTACTTTTTTTTTTGCGAAGGATTATTTTAGGTCTTTTATTCTGTTCTTATTATTATGATTCTCTAGTTTCTAGCGCACGTGACAAGACACTTCCAAATCTCTTATGCGTTGAAAGGGTAACATATAACCATCCTCCGACCCCCCACAAATGCCCCAGTGATGAAAAGTGACCCTCCTTGATTGAAGTAAGCGCAACAAGTGCAAACGCAGCCGTCTGCCTATGCGTGCAACAGTTATTGGTCCTCCAGTGCTGTTAAACAGTCGTGCAATCAGCCTGATTTGCACTTGTCAGGCAGCTAAGTGCACTTATCCAAGCGAATGAATAGAAAAGCTGCAGGGTCTGGATGTGAAAGACATCGAACAGACAATTTCCATCCTGAGAGTTTTCCTTTTCGCTGTGCTCAAGTGTAAACTGGTCTGAGGAAATGTAATAACCCTTCTTGTCCCCCACCCCCGTCCCGTTCCAAAGCTTAGAATATTTAAGGTCGGTGGCGGGGTGTCGCACTGTCCCTGTGGAAGTGGGCTCCAGGTACACGGACAAGGAGTGGTCCCAGACGCTGATGACGATCGACGAATTCATCGACCGCTATATTTTAAACCAGGTGAGTTCTTTACGCCTCAGAAAGTTTAAACCGTATGCTTTGGGAGATTTACTGATTTTGGTTTGTCGTGTGTGTGTGTTATAGCGTGAGACCAGGCAGGAGGGGGCAACACCTATCTGCGGCTATCTGGCTCAGCATCAGCTCTTCGAGCAGGTGGAGCAGCAAAATAAAATAATGAATGACAATGTACTGTATGTTTTTTAGTTGGATGTGGAATAATTCAGCCGTTACCATAGATACCAGAGTTGAAGGATGACATCCGAATTCCTGATTACTGCTGCCTGTGTGACGGCGACGAGGACGACGTGACCGTCAACGCCTGGTTCGGGCCCGCCGGCACCGTGTCGCCCCTCCACCAGGACCCCCAGCACAACTTACTGGCGCAGGTAAGCGTGGAGATGACACCTTAAATGTCGCCGCTTCAAGTTTGGAATGAGGCCACTCGTAAAGCAAACGAGTTCCTGAAATGAAGAAATTGTGTGTTTAAAAATGGACATTCTACTCTGTTTGTCTCTGTCAGGTGGTGGGAAGCAAATACGTCCGCTTGTACTCGCCCGAAGACTCGGACAAGGTCTACCCACACTCGTCTCAGCTCCTCCACAACACAAGCCAGGTGTGATTGGCATCATGCTCGCTTGTAAATAAAGCCTTTTTTTTTTTTTTTTTTTTTTTAAATGAAAATGATTATATTTTTTGGAAGCGTTTTATTTTTTTTCAACCACACACAAACGTTGCTTTGTGTCCTTAAACAGAACTGAGAACTGCTTCTTAACCTCGGTTTTGCAAAATGGCATGATAACATATCTCACAAATAGTGCTTTTAAAACTAAATTTCATTACAGTCATTCAACATTTTTCAAATTGTACAACTTGTAACAGTTCTCATAGCAAAAAATTGTGGTTTCAGTGATTGATTACCTTTCTTCCCCCGGCCTAGGTGGAGGTGGAGAATCCCGACACAGAACGCTTCCCGGAGTTCTCCAAGGCTCCGTACCGGGAGTGCGTGCTGCGGCCCGGAGACGTGCTCTTCATCCCGGTGCAACACTGGCACTACGTGCGCTCACTGGAGCAAAGCTTCTCCGTCAGCTTCTGGTGGTCCTGATTTGGTCAAACGACAGAAAAATGAAATGAGGTGATTCTTATGTACAGTACTTCTGGTTTCAACATTTTTTTTTTTTGTATAGCTTGTGTCGTTTAATTGCTCTCAACCTTTTAATCCGACAAATATCCTCAGGTGGTCGTATTTGCATAACGCATGCAAATGAGGCAGCGCCAGCTAAACATGCTGCAGGTTAAAGCGGGTCACAGCTGAGGATGAATAAATGAAGCATCCCCCGCGGGGTGCACACAGGCGCACACATACGTGCGCTATTTTGCATGTTCGCATTTGATCAATTCTCATTAGAAATATGAAGTGAACACAACGCGAAAGGTGAAATCAAGTTACCATCTTGCTATGATAGTTCACATGCTATCATATCATTGACTAAACTCCCATTTGAAAGAGCCCCCTTAAATGTTGTCCTGTGATCACGGAATGGCTTGCTATCGATATTAGCATATTAACTGTTAGCATTGGATCAGTTGCCTTTAGAAATACCAACTGAACACAGGGCAACATGTACACTGGGGCTGCTATCTTGCGATATGTTCCCACCCCAACTGTTAGCATGTTCTCATTTGAGCCAATCTCAATAGATCATAAATAATACGAATATTCTTTCCACATACCAGAGCAAGATGTAAACTCGGGTTGCTATCTTGCTATATGTTAACATTTCAATTACACTTTACAGTAAAGGGGTCGGTCCATGAAGCAAAACAGAACCTGATCTTCCTATTGTTTGAACGTAGAAATATTGCCTACAAAATGAGGTAACTTTAAAAATAAAGGCCAACAGTTTTAGCATAACTCTAATAAAACTTTATCGAGATAAACACAGAGTCCTCTTATCGATGGTAGACATGCAGCCACTCAGATAAGGCCTACGTTCCTGTGCCGTAGCTATCCTGTCTTTGTTTTATTTTGAATGTCTTCTAAACACTGCAAACTGGACCGCCTTATCGTCGCTCAGTAAAGTGGCAATATTGACTTCAGATCTCACAAATCTGCTTACTCTCATTATGAAGTGATCGATACTCAATTACAAGTGAAGTAATGCAAGCTGCCCCATCCCTGCATACTCCATCCTTCCTTTTTTTTTTTTTTTTTGTCAACCGCTTTTTGATTAACGGCCTACATGCTTTTGGGCAACTCACAGCCAAATCCATTAGATTGTTCCTGTTTGGTGATAATTGAGTTTTTTTTTTCTTTCATTTGATGTGGAATAAAGTGAAAATTCAAACAGCAGTGATTTAAAAGCAGCATCAACTCACCTTTAGAAGTCCTCCAGTTGTCATTATCATAATAAGTACATTCGCAAGGTGTAATGAGATTTGTCTTGAGCGCGCGACCCTTTTGAGGATAAGCTGATTTGAAAATGGATGGATTTGTCTTTCCAAATATTATTCTGCTCAATTTACATGACATTAACAGCACGGTTGTTGTTGTGATTGTACTTGATATGCACAGATGTAGCTAAAGAGCATATTTTCACACGAACGTTTAAAATACAGCTCAGGACTGCTTCACAGCTCTGTGTGTTACATGGAGCCCACCAAATTCTGCCCCCCATGGACAGCCCGGGAAGTTTGTGATACATTCCGTTCATTTTCAAGAAATGCAGAGGGGATTGAAGAATGTAGTCTCATATTCCAGGACTGCAATAGCAGTTTGATTCCAAAACAGATGTGAAGCAGTGGTCACAAGCAGTTGTCATACAACCAGATGAGTTCAGAGGTTCACTGAAAAGATCACTCTTAAAACAGGACAAAATATTACTTAAGTGATTCACAGAAATGAAAAATCAATTCTAGGGAGAAAAAAAATTCAAGCATTTTTCTGTTAACAATTGAGCTTCTGAAGAAATAAAGAACGATGTGAAGCAGTTCTTCATATTTACTTTGCGTTACATAGTTAAATAAAGCTGACATTGGAAACGTCATCAAATTACACTCAGACTACAAGAGTGCTTTTATTAGTGTCAAAATGAATAGGGAAATGCAGGCGAAACAAATTGCTTTATTTTGAAATGTCGGTTTGATTGCAGTGTCTTTAAACAAACACAATCTCCAGTCGAGTGCGTCTATTAAAAAGTTAAGACTTCACGGCGTTAGAAATGAATGGCGACCACAGAAAAGAGATTGCTACACCTCAAAGTTAAAAAAGATGATCAATGAAAGCAATGAAGTAGCAGTTTTCCAAAAAGTGTTCCACCTGAGTTGGAGGCCATGCACAGCAAACAAAGCGATGACGCTTGTAAAGAGGATCGCACGAGTATTAACGAACGCTCATCATCGCAGTGCAGTCTTAAGGCCTTGAGCACAATATGCAAATGACCCTGTGGGCTCCTGCTGCAATGATGATGATAGAAACGATCATTCAAAAACCAAGAGAAGCTTCGGTGCCTTAAAGCTGCTTGCCTTCCATAGTATCATTTTATTTAATTGTTTTTTTTTCCTCCAGTTATTCCAATGCCTCCGTGGAGGAGGCGTCCACGTCGTGCATGCGCTCGGCCACGAAGAAGCAGAGCGTGCCGCTGAAGCCCAGCACCACCATGAGGAGGAGCTGCCACGTTAGCAGCATGTTGCCGCTGTAGAAGAACGCCACGGCTGCGAAAACCGACTGAACAACACAAGAGCCAAGAAAAAAAACAAAAAAACCCAGTTGATATAAAAAATAAAAATGAATAATAAACATAATTGTTGATTCAATAAAGAGAAACGCACGCTCTTCTTTCATATAGCGCTTGTAAAACCAAGTATTACATGACAGCAACACAAAACCTTCACACATTTTTAGTTTATGCAGTAGATGTCATAGAAAAACAAAACCAATGCAATAACAAATAGAATGTGAATTAAACTGTATCTTGACTGAATGCTGTAATTCAAATCATGGTTCTGGTGGGAGACGGAACGAAGAATAGTAATTCTACTACTCTGACTCACTATGATTAATAATAGTCACTCTGTGGAGGATAAAGAATATATGCCAGTGAGGGTTAAGTTGTCTACAATCTGCTGCTGTTCATATGTGTCTTGCTCAAAGGTTTCAATGGCATTTACATTAACATTAGGTTAGTGGGTTATTTTTAACGTTTTAAACACACAACGTACATATAATCCTCTTTATTTTGTGAGTTTGGCAGTAAATAAACAGCGTGGCATTAAACAGCTTGAAGCCTCTGTTCAATCTTAGATTTAGAAAACTTGATTACTTTAGCGAGTCGAGGAAAGCAAAATCAAACATTTTTCAGTTTGGAAAGAAAATGTTTGACTTCTTTCCGAGAAAAATGCAACACAGGTGTGAAGCAGATCTCCCAAATATGAAATGCTTCTCGTCTCGGAAAGCAAAATGTTCATATTTTTCGGGTGGTAAGGTTAATGTTTGAGTTTTACAAAAATGTATTCACGGGTATACAGTATACGTAAGACAGATGTGAAGCAGCGGCTAAATATTGTTTCGGTAATTCATAGCAAAAATTATTATTAATTCGTGAAGCAATCCCCCCCCCCCCAATGTTTTCTTTGTTTCATTGTTTCCTTTTGCTTTTTAAGAAGCTTCTCCGCTAGTGCACGCATGTGTGTGTGTGATTAGTCACCTGTATAAATTTGAAGATGGCAAATGCGGGTGTGCTTTGCTCGGCGTAGACGCAGCCCAGGATGCTGTAGAGCTGCGTGTTAAAGCAGCTGTCTCCCAGGCCCAGCAGGAAGCTGCACAGCAGGGCGATGGACATGCTGCAAGGGCATGGCAAGCATTAGCATGACGAGCCTGCTGATGTGGACTTCTCGCACCAGTATTGCACTCAAAAACCAGAGCCTCCACTTCCTGTTCTATGGTTAACAGCACGTTCATCTACTGTATGTATCATCCATCAAGTTTAATCTGTGCATCTATTTCTAACCATCTACACACCTTGGAGTGAGAAAGGGGCTCTTGGTGGTGGCGGTGCTGAAGACCACGGGGGCGTCATCGGGAATGTTGAGGAAGATGAGATAGAAGGCCACGAAGTGTACCACCATTCCCAGGAAGACCACCGAGGTGCGTCTGAATCGATTGTTCTTGCACACCAAGCCGAACAAGCCTCCGCCTGGAAAGCACGAGGAAAAAAATACACAAAGTCCGTCTACGTGACAAATTGGGCCACGCGTTGGCCATTCAGCGTCAAGGTGAGTTGGATTCTTCAAAACATTGTTTTGCGTGAACAAATTTCATGGCCTAACCCACCTATGATTTCGCCCACGCCCAGCACCATGCCAGAGACCCCGATGAGGCCTTTTGCAGCCTGTCCGAACTGAGCCGTGGCTCCCAGGCACGTCCCATAAACGCCGCTGTAGAAGGACAGCTCCAGGCCTGCGCCAGGAGACGAAAGCTCAAAAAGAGCACTGAGGGGAGGGGGGGGGGCCCGCTCAGCACGCCGATGGGACCACTCACCGCTGTAGGCCATGCAGGGACTCAGGAGCAGGATGTTTCTGGTCTTGAGGAGCTGGAGCATAGTCTCTAGGGACGGAACACATTCCTGTTAATGCACACTTTATTAGGTACACCCACATCCATCATGCTCATTTTTTTTGATTGACAGCGCCATTCAACAATATTTTGTCATATTCTCGCCTGGGGTTTTTCTGGGTCGTCGAATTCGTCCATAGGTATGAATGTGAGTGTAAATGGTTGCCTATATGTCGCCCTGTGATTGTCTCGTGACTAATCCAGGGTGTACCCCGCCTCTCGCCCTAAATCAACTCCAGCTAACCTCAGATTTGAGCGATTTCTCTAATCGAGGAACAATTTTTGGAAGGTTATTCCCAGGAACCTGAAGCAAAGGTTTAATAAAACAACAAAAATATGACAATAGTAAGTAATCACTCAGTTACATAACTAAGTTCGTTTCTAAAGGTAACTGTGGCAACATTACATACAGGCAATGTTAATTTATCCGATGAGACTTACTGAAATCCGCCTTCACGTCCTGTACGGCCGTGTTGGCTCTGTGCTTGTACCTAAAAACAACAAAGATGCAGTGGGTTCATTTCAGTTATTTATTTATTAGTTTTTGCAGCAAGTTTGTTAGTTTTTGTGTTGTATTTATTAGTTTTAGGATTGGTTTTAGTTTTTTTTTTTTTTTTTAATGGAATATTTAACAAGTACAAGATTAAAAAAAAAAAAAAAACCAATTGTGAAGTTATACTCCACTTCTCAAACGACTGTCTGACTTTCCTTCTGTACGGATGTACAGCAATATCGAAATACTTTTAAAATCAACCCCAAAAGTATATTGATTGACAAAGACTAAAATTGATATTTTTACTATAATTATAGTTTAGGCAAATTTATAAACGTAAGATACAAGTTCAGTAGTTGTTTTTTTTTAAGAATTTTCATATTAATTTCATTTCCAAAAATGTTTTTTCATTTTGAGTTTATTTGAATTTTATTTATTACAATAAAAGCCTTGCATAGAAATGAGGGGAAAAAAAAAAAAAAACACGCTCCACTTACACCACGTGAGCCGAAAGCAACGACTGTCCTTCCTCCTCTGAGAGCATCTCCTCCTCTGGCAGGTGAGTCTTCCTCAGCACCAGGAAGCACAGCGTCCCCACGATGGAGGCCACCAACAGTGAGAGGAAGATATTCTTCCTGCTGCTCTCTGACCACATAATAATGCATGGCCAGAGACATTTAACAATCCATCGGGCTTTATTATCATGCTCCTTTATACCAAGCATTATCGTACTACCTGGTATTTCTGCTCTTCCGTTCCAGTCCAGATAAATACACAGATTGCCGAACAACATGCTGCAAATAAAGGAAATGATCATTATTTATGGATGGAAAAAGTCGATTTCCTCTTTGGCCTATCAATATAGGACATACTTGAGCAAACATAGGATGCAGTAAACCAATTACAATTAAGGGAAGATATATCTTCATATTTGGTGAAAAAAAAGGGGTAAAAATCAAAAAGTTGATTTATGCCATGCAATTTTTCATCAGTGCTATTCCACATTGGACCACGCGCTTCCAAACTAGATGTATGACGAAAATGCTATTGCATTGCATTGCATATGCTATATGGACAAAATAATTAGCACATACAGTACTGTTTTTTTTTCCTCCAGCACAAAGGGCTTACTTGCACATAAATTAGCATTTAAGGATAGCACAAAACTACAAAACCAAACAAACCAACACATGAAATGCTAGAATTAATTTTATACACTTTAAAAAAAATAAATAAATAACTCACTCAAAACTTTTATTTTGTTGAGGTACTGTTTGTCCACAAAGAAAAATATCAAGCCACTCATGTTGTAGTATGTGGTAGTAAAAGACCTGGTGTAAGTGCAACTAAGACATGCCTGCCATCTAGTGGTCATTGGTGATGTTACTACTTAAAACTCCAGTCTAACCCTGCATATTAGGCACCAGTGGATTTGCATATTCTGACTTGTTTACTGTATTCCCCTAATAGTTTTTCATATTTTTGGATTGTTCCCAGTTTTTCCGGCATTTTATTTTATTTATCTAATTATTTTTTGGAATGAGGATCCAGAATGTGGTCGCCCATTCCTGTACTCTTTTTTTTTTTTAAATGAATAAACCTTTCTCGTGATGATTGTCGGTACCTGCACTGCAGCAGAGCCCAGAACAAGCCCGTATTCCTGTTGATAGTTGAAGCCTCCGAATTCTCCACCAGAAATTGCCCTTGAGCCGTCCACAGCACTGCAACGGGAAACGAGAAGTTAAAAAACAAAAAACAAAAAAAAAAAACCCAAATTAAATAGGACAGCGCGTGGGTCATGTGAGTGGAGAAATGACTGTATGAGGGGGAAGGGGAGCCAGCAGTTAAATTGGTTGCATCAAGTGTGACATTATCTTTTATGTGCTGTTAAGTAACACATGTACTCTCAGCATGCAGCCCGGGGGCATTGTCATGACCCACAAAACTATTTTTTTCCCTCTCCTAAGATTCCTATCAGTTGTGAGTTTGGTGCTCTGCAACCATTTTACTGTATTATTTTTTATAACTTCACATTTATTGAAATCCTTTGACATGTGCAGAGGAGGTCTCGAATTAATCCGAATCTTCCCACACAAATGTTATCCATGACTGGGTATGTCAAACCTTAGAATCTCACCTTGTTTTTTTCCCGCTCTTAATGTCCCCGTCTTTTTTATTTTATTTATTTTTTACCTCATTCTGTCTGTTTTTTTTCTTTTTGCTTGGATGCAACTTGCTGGTTACAGCATTTGATGTAATAACCTGGATTTTTTAAAATAGACTACACAAACACAAACTGACATGCATTTAAAATTAGTGACTAAATAAATTGAACGTATAATAACAAAGTCATTTGTAATTATTAAAATAAATTACAAATAAAAAACTAATTCATGAATGGACCTGGATTATTTTAACTACCTTTTTAATTAAAAAAAAATTGAAAATATACTCAACTGGATTTATGAAAATAATGGAAAAAGTATTTAATAAGATATTTTTACATAATGTATTAATTTAAATTATTTATAATACAGTGACAAAATTACCAGACCTGGATATTTTTACAATTCAATAAAATTACAAATATGGTCTATATATTAAAACAAATATTTATCACCTGGATTTTTTTCTCTTTCTCAAAATAAAATTTATTTGGATTTATAATTAATTACAATTGAAAAAAAAAAGCTTGCCCGGATTTATTGGAACCACATATCTATAGATGAATAAACTGGGTTTTTTTGTATGACCAAAAAAAAAAAAAAGACCTGAAGTTTTACGTTAAAAAAGGGAATTGGCTAGTTTAGTTGTAGATAAATGAGGGAAAAAAAAAACATTTCAAAATTAGCGTACAGTGTATCATTGACTGAAGTTTTACGTTAAAAAAGGAATTGGCTAGTTTATTTGTAGATAATGAGAAAAAAAACATTTCAAAAATAGCATACAGTGTATCATTAAAGAGACCTGTATTTTTATTTTCATAAGATTACAAAAAAGTTTTTTAAAATATATTACAAATGTAAAAAAAAAATCATAACTGGGGAAAATATATACCTAATTATAGATAACAAATTTTCCATGAGTGGTGTGAGAAGATAACACCGAGGGCTCAACTGCACTTTCAAAGATATACAGTATTAAGTATGAATATGGTGGGAAGGGCTTACTGGCGGCCCCAATGCCAAGCAGCAAGGACATGAAGTAGAAGGACCACGTGGACGGCTCGATGAAGACGGCGATGTAGCCACTAGATGTGAAAGACGACACGGTGATGAGCTGTTGATTGATATGGTCCCACTGTGTGTGAATTCCTGCCGGCGTGAGCTCGTACCTGTAAAGCAGCCCGCTCAAAAACATGGTCATCTTCGGTCCTAGCACGGCCACCACGGCGGGCGCCACCAAACTGGACAACGAGAAGACTCCATAGATGATTCCCAGACTGGAAAAAAGACAGACTGTGATTATTGCGGTAACCTTTATTAAAAAAAAAAATGTATTTCAATATTTGCGCCACCTGTGGTATCCACTTCCTGTGAAGGTGTCATTCTGCAGACTTTTCACCACCGTTTGCTAAAAAGAAGAGAAGTAAGGATGGTAATTTTATTACGTCGTGTGGTTCTTCGAGGCAGAGCAGAACTCATTGGACTTGTGAGCAAAATTGGAAACACGAGATGCACATGACACTGATTTTTCACTGTCTTTTCTGCTTGATGGGTGAGTACTGATACCAAGTCTTGGTATCAAGCTGGTGCCATCCTTATTTCAAAGTACAGTATTGGGTATTCTTGAAAGATGCCAGGACCAGCCACCGATACTGAAGGCATAAACAATCCGACACTCTTGTCAGTAGTTGGTGCTACACTAAGGCCGTTTGACAAATCAGTAAACCATAAAGTGCGTCACAAAGACAGAAAGTTCTTTATTCACAATTATCTGTCATGATATTAAGTGAAATTTTAGGTATCAAGAGTACTAATGGGATCATTCGTACTGGTGCCTGTCTGAAAAAATGGTATTGAACATCCCTAAAATTAATAATACCATCTTTTGAGTGAGAGAAATTTACAAACACAGAATGAAGCCAGTTGGATACCACATTTTTCCAGACAGATACCAAAAGAAGTGTTCACTCTGAGTACACTCTGATACTGAGTACCAATAACACTAGTATTTATCTGACATATAAAATTTCATTTAACATAATGACCAAAAATTGTGAAGAAAACCTCTTCCTGACACAGAAGAGGATTCGCTGATATGTCAAACTGCTGCAGTGGAGCACCAAATACAGCCAAGGAAGACTTACTTGATGTCAAATTTTACTGCTCTTGCCTTAAGTATCGGCAGTCACCTCGAGTACCCGATACACAAGAATAAGGTTGGTATCTGTACTCCCCCGTCGTGACATATATTACTACCATAAAATGCTAAGGATAAAAGTAAACAAAAACAAGCCTTGGAGAAAGTAGCCAAAATAATATTTTTTTTATAAACGTAATATCATGATTTTGAATGAGAGAAAGTCACCAAAAATTGAGTGAATTTGTATATTTCAAAATATAAATAATAACATGTGGCTAAAAGTAAATAAAGGCCTGCTTTGGCCACATTATATATATATATATATATATATATATGTAATTTTTATTTTTATTTTTTTAAACGACATGAATAAACCCATGTTTACAGTGAGGGAAATTCCACACATAAAACAACAATTACAACCTAGAAATTAATATATTTTTAAAAAATTAAAATAAATGGAATATCTTGTTTTGGAGATGGCAATTCCAGCTCAATTAAAATATCAAATAATAATTAGATAACGTCGAAGCAGACAAATAAATGAAAAAAGGCAAACGTTGAAAACTTACTTCAACGTTGCCACAGGTGGTGAAGGCGGAGAAGACAAACAAGAATCCCACGCCCAAAATCACCACATTAAAAGTTCTCCAGTCTGCCATGGTGCTTATTTTTCTTCTCTTTCTTTTCCTCGTCGCCCTCGCTGCTACATTTCACGGACTTCGCCCCTCCAAACTCCGCGGAACAAACTTTTGAAAAGCCCCCAATTGTCAGGTACATTTAATAAAATGCCAATGAAGGAGGCGGCGATAGTGGCAACATCGTGAGGTTCTTGTTTTGGCTGCCACACAACGCGTGCATGACAACTTGTGACTTCGATTAACGGAGTTTTTTTTTTTTCTTTCCCTGCCCACTTCTGCTTTCTTTTGGATGACTTTTTCCCTCTACAGTAGCCGACAGCTCCTTCTTCTTCTTTTACCTGGACAGTGGAATATTCCTTGGGTCATCACGATGCGACTGTCACCTGGTGGTAAAAATTGAAAGCTACACAACATTTTTCAAAACGTAAAAGCTTATTTTCCGGTTTTCTGAGTATATTTTTGAGGGGCTTTTAAAAAAATATTTTTTGTTTGTGTTTTTCAAATTCATATTTTGTTTGTTTGTTTTTTATGGAACATTTTTTCAGTTGTTCTGAATATTCTTGTTCTGTTTTTCGGAATATTTTTGTTACGTTTTTCTTTTGTTTTTTTCCCCGATTTTTCTGAATAAATTTCACCTGAAATTAGAGAGCAAATAACAATACACACATGCATTCCTTTATTTCGAGCTCGTAAGCAAACAAGACTGTCTTATTTAGTGTCATCAAGTTTTAATTTACATACTTTTTTCAGTTTATTTGAATTGTTTTTTTTTCTGTTTTTCTGAATTTTGGGGGATTTTTTTGTTCTGTTTTTACTCAATATTTCTTTCAAGTTTTTAAAAAATAATTATTTTCTATTTTTCATAATAAAGAGAGAGAGAGAGAGAGAGAGAGAGAGAGAGAGAGAGAGAGAGAGAGAGATGCCGTAAAACTGAAAATAATAAAATATATTAATTTTTAAAAACATGGATTATTCCCCCCCCAAAAAAAAAGAAATACTCATATAAACAGGAGTTATTTTTCAAGTGAATGCAATGCGCTTCCATAGCATTTTTTTAGATATTGCCCAAAAATAAAAACATAAATAAAAAGAATAATTCTAAGTGAAAACGATGATGAGTTGTAGTCGACATTTCGACCAAGAGCTGGCAATAAACGTCATTGTAAGGCCTGAACGTGTTTAAATGTACACGAAGAAGAAACATTGATGAACCAATCGCAATCCAGGAAAGTGCCACCTCTTGGAGTGTACCTTCTCGGCCAAAACAACCAAGACGATCGACGAAACGAGAGAATTCACCGCCATCCATCTCCGTCGTGGTGACATTCGCGAAAGGCAAGTTCTGAGCGCACGTATTTGTGAAAGTAATTTTCGTGTACGCACGCGAAAAACTTGCACTGAGAACTAAAGCGTCAATCCTCGAAGTTAACGTTAAGGCCTGTGTTATTTAATCGTGACCAAACATGATCTTATTAACTATTTACATCGTAACAAAACGAAAAGTAGCTCATTTACCCGTATCCGACATTAACATTGTAAATAAGGGGACGCTCTTGCTGTCTGTAAAATCTTGGGCTGGATGAAGGTTTCCACTGATTGTACACAATCATCATGGCGACCCAGGATGGTGAGTATTGAGCAGAATATAGCAACATTTACTTCGTAACGCCACGGCAATTTTCGTGCTGGCCAATGAATTTGTGCACACCGCTAATAGACACGTAGACGCCGGTCGCTGTTAAGGTTGTCTTTTTCAATATTCACGTCTTCTCGTTCGGATTTATCTTGACATGTTTCACCAGTTTCGTAGCTTAGCTAACGTCAATGACTGCTAACTAGTGCAAAAGAAGCCGTGCAGAATTGGAGTTTCACTTTGCAAAACAGAGGGCCCAACTAAAGCCGACTCAAATGACAATCTCCAAGTGGTCACAGTCGATAAGTTATCCCGTTTGACAAAGAGGCTGGCTCGTGGAAAGTGCAAGATGCTGTGTCATATTCGCGCTTTGACTCTAAAAGCGTGTTTTTTGTTAGCCGCTCGTAAAAGTCAAATGAGTAACAATCATTAAAAGCAAGATACATCCAAAGCCAGAAGAAAATAATTTCTTAAAGCGACATTAATGACACCTTGTTAATTAAAATACCTTGTGTGTGTTGTTTCGTCTATTTACTGCAAGTGGCCAAAGTATATTTTGAATGAATTGGCACAAGTTCTGAAACTCAAATAATTACACCACCTAGTGCTGCTGTTCTGTCCCAATTAGAAAATGTGCACTGTTCAGGGATTTAGGGTCTGAATCTCGTGCGCCCACCTCTGTATGGCCTTTACAGGAATATAAACTCTAAATGTGACTATCGATATTTGAATGTCAAATCAGGTCCTCCGACTTACTCACATGTACCAAAAGAGCATGTTCAGTTCATTGAAGACTCTAAGCCAGGTGTGTCCAGATACGGTCCTCGAGGGCCATAATCTCGCATGTTTTAGATGTCACTCTCGAAAACGGATGGCTGAGTGGGTGGCTCTTTCAGACCAGACAGTTAAAATGATCTCAATTTTAAAATGAGTTTTTCTCCATTTATGGCAGGAAATCAAGTTACAATGCAAACGGACGCAAAGCCAAAGGAAGGGGAGGAAGACGCACGTCTGGGGGAAACTACGGAGAAGGGCGACTCGGAACCGGCCTCCGACGCGGGAAACGCCACCACTCAGGACTCTTCCAGCATCAGCAACGGGGATGACAATGCCGAGGACGGGGGCGAGATGGTGGACTTGAAGATCATCTGGAACAAGATCAAATATGACTTGAGGATCCCTCTGGGTAGTACCGGCGCTAAATTGAAGGAGAAGATCCATTCGCTCACTGGTGAGAGCAATTTACGAATGGATTTTTCAACAACCACAAGGAATTAATTAATCTTTATTGCCAAAAAAAAAACAATCTCAGATGTATTCTGAATTATAGGATACTAAGATAAAGGCAGTAAAGGTGTTTTTTTTCTGCCTTTAGTATAATTTGGCTGTTTCCGGCACCCTCAACGAGTACCTGTCTTTGATACCGATACCTAGTATCATTACTCGCCCATCCCGAATATTTAGATTAATTTTGGGCAAAAGCATTTAGGTAACCTTTAAAGAGTATTTTGTACATTTCAGAGTATTTTGGTAAATTTTAAAGAGTATTTATACGGCAAAGAGTACTTAGGGAACTTTAAGAGAGAATTTCGTATATTTGAGAGTATTTGGGTCACTTTTAGGCAGCAATTCAGTAGACTTTAGAGTATTTAAGTTACATTTTGAGAAGCATTTGAGTACACCCAGGAGTGTTTAGGTCACATTGGGCCTACTGTGCAACTCTTATTTTAATGTTGGTGATTTTAGTGGTACTTGGAGGACCAAGTATTTTTTTGAGATGGTACTTGATGTGAAAAGTTTGAGAACCCTACTACACGGGTTCTCCCTCTATCTCTCTGTTTCCATGCGTCAGGTCTTCCGCCGGCCATGCAAAAGGTGATGTACAAAGGCCTGGTGCCGGAGGACAAGACATTACGGGAAATGAAGATGATGAGCGGCGCCAAGGTCATGGTGGTGGGATCCACCATAAACGACGTGCTGGCGGTCAGCACGCCCAAAGAGGTTATGCAGCAGGAGGTCAAGGCTGAGGAGAACAAGAAGGAGCCACTATGCAGACAAAAGGTCCCGCACCTCAATTCCAACGTCAACTCGAGTGTAAAATGTTCTGGGAACTTTTAGTTCTTGTTACTTGTGAAAGTACCTGTTGTGCTATATTTACACCTAAGTTTCTGTTGACTTTTAGTTCAGTTCCGGCAACTAAGAGGTTTAAGAAATAGAAAGAACCCTTTGTGTCTGTGACTGCATTTCCACCTTAAGTGCTTGGAATTTGTATATCTTGGTTGTTGTGGTTCTGAGAAGTAAAAGGTCCCACAAGCAGCCATTCTGTCTTTAATCGGATTTCCACCTGGTCTGGAAACTTTTCGTTGGTTCTTCTGGTTCCGATAACTAAAAGTACCAATTGTGTCTTTAGTTGCATTACCACCTAAAATTCTGGAAACTTGTTGTTCTGGGAAATAAAAGGTTCCAGGAACCAAAAGTACACATTCGGCCATTTTTTTCCACCATAGAAACTTGAAACTAGGAAGGAATTGGAGTGAATTTTTTTGTGAGAAAATATGTATTTACTTGCATGTATGCTCTTATTCCAGCAACACAGGAAAGTTTTGGACAAAGGTAAACCTGAGGATGTAATGCCAGCTATTAAAGGAACAAAAGTAAGTGTGAATGCATTTGTTTTTGTTTGTTTGTTTTTTTTTCCATTTTTGGGGACGGGGGCAGGGATTTGTAGAAGTGATGTTTTTAACGTCTTTGCCCTTCAAACCGGCAGGAGCGACTACCAACTGTGCCTTTATCCGGAATGTACAACAAATCCGGAGGAAAAGTAAGACTCACATTCAAACTGGAGCAGGATCAGCTGTGGATCGGGACTAAAGGTGAAACACAAATGTACAAAAAGCCAACTGTGATGCTTATTTTTCCTTGTATCTTTTTTTTCTTTTCTTGAATGTTTGTGTCTTTTTGTGTGCAGAGAGGACAGAGAAAGTCCCGATGGGCTCCATCAAAAATGTGGTTTCTGAGCCCATTGAAGAGCACGAGGACTATCACATGATGGTAAGTGCCGCTACATATTTAGCTCTTTACGAGCTGCGGATGAGACGAATTTCAAGTCATGTCAACGACTGGAAGAGGAGGCTACAGATACATTTGTTCTAAAACCATTTCTTCGCTTTCAGGCAGTTTGTATTGTTTGCTTAGCATGAGGCTTAACACTCTTTTAATAAGGCAAAATTATGTGGTTTGTGTTAAAGGCAAACAGGGAATTAATTCTTTGTTTTATGTATAATGGAAAAGTAAACTCAACCTGGGTGTGGCAGTACACAGTTTACAGCCTCCCTCTCATATTTTCATTTTTTTTAATCAAAAGAAGATACGGCAGCGGATAAATGTTAAGATAAGATAAGATATCCTTTATTTGTCCCACACTGGGGAAATTTACAGCCTTCAGCAGCAAGATTGTGGGTAGAAAGAAGAGAAAAGAAAACACAGTAGAGGTGCAATTAGGTAATTCCCCCAAAATTCTGATGAAACACAGCTGTGAGAGTGTGCACACCTGTGCAACCCCGTTATCGTCAGTGTTTAATATCCTCCCCGATTAAGTTGTAGGTCACATTAATGGTTGAAAAGGTTTTGGCACAATTTATCTTGGCTTCTTTTTTTATACTGCAAACATCTGGCATTTGATCAGGGGTGTGTAGACTTTTTCTACCCAGTATTCTTTGTGTATGCAGGCGTTCCAGCTGGGTCCGACAGAAGCGTCTCAGTATTGGGTCTACTGGGTGCCCACACAGTTCGTGGATGCAATTAAAGACACAGTCCTGGGGAAATGGCAGTATTTCTAATGTGCCTCTTATCAGTTTTGTTTCTTTTTTGACAATGATGAACTGGGACAGAAGATAAGGAGGAGGAGGAGTTGAGGGAAGAGGAGAGAGGCTCGAGGAAACGCGCCGGCATCTTATCTGAAGGAACTTGACTGACGCCCGCGGACTAAAATCTTTTTTTTTTTTTTTTTGGTTTCAACGTGCGCTGCAAGTGGCAGCGTTCACATTTCTGAGCCCTCCCTCTTGTTGATCATTGATGGGCTTCAACAAATACAAGGGGAAGAAAAAAAAAACAATGAAACAATTGTACAGAAATTGCTAACACTTTTCTTCTGTTATTCTTAAAGAAATAAAAGTTATTTAATGAAATGAAGACACAGTGTTTTGTCCTTATTCTTTAGCAGACTACAAATCCAGCCATTTTAGTCTTTTTTCTTTTTGGAGGGAAAAAAACTGTCAAATGTTTTTGTCTGACAAAGCATGGTACTGTATTTAAAATTTTATTATGTACAACAAACAGGCTATTTTCACGAGCATTCAAAACAGGAACAATGTCCAATCAGATACTGTAGGAAATCCATTTCGTGTTGCTATTTTCAACGCTTGTCACGCTTTTATTTTGAAATACAAACAGGTAATGACGTAAAATACGGAAGTTGCTCCTCTAAGCGGGAAATAAAAAGCTCGGAAATTGTTTACACATTAACAAACGACAGCAACATGTGATACAGAGTAATGGATAAACCAGAGAACGCAGCCGGTGAGAGGAAGCGCGCCCCGCCGGTGAAGGTATTTTCCAGCCAGCTGAGGACGGCGACGGCGGTACGGGGGAGCTCCGGCGAGCCCGGCGCCGGTTGGGTGGTCAGGCTGGGCAGGGATCGCTTCCTGCAGGTCTCCCTGGTGTGGATGCAGGGCACCGTGCTCGAAGTGCAGTTAGCGCTCAACCGCGTGCTGCTCATGGATGAGACGGGCACGTTCACCGTCCAGGGCATCAATGGCATCCCCAAAGGGAAACCGTGTTTGTCTTCGGGTAATGAAAGCGAGACCTTATTTTAAATTGCTGACGGCTTCATGTTGTTTATTCGAGAACTGAAGCACAATTTAGACACTAAAATATTTAAAAACGCACTACTGTTTTATCATTTTACGAAAAACAGTCAGTTGGCCTTCATGATACTGTACGTCCAGTTCATATAATTGTACACATAAGGTATTTGTCATACAGTTGAGTTTATACTATGCTGCGCTGGGTACAACCCTGCCGTTTAAATCATTTATAATTAACTGATATTTTTAATACTTAATGTAGTACTCGGTTTACTGTGACAGGGCTGCAAAACAATTCTGTCAGTATAAGGTAATTGTGTTAGCCGCTATGTTGACTGGTAAAGAAACATACTTGGCAATGTCATTAAACTACTGTATATTCATGTATTCATCTCATAATAAGACTCCAGTGATTAATGCGCCCCCCACCCCCACTGCCAAGTGTATTTGGTGACTTCCTGTTCAAGCACCTAAAAATGACACTAGACTTCTAACGTCCCTCAAGGTAAATACGTGATGGTGATGGGCGTCATCCAGGCCGTCTCCCCGGAGCCGCTGGTCCGCGCCGTAAAGCTGGCCGACCTCTCCGAGCACTCCGCGCTGCACAGACAGATGTGGAAGTTGGAGGTGGAGGACCTGCAGCAGGTGTTGGTGGCCCGGATGCATCCGGCCTCTGTCGGCCCATGAAAATACAGAAGACCTCACCAGGCACCTTGATTATCAGATGACTCGTTAGCTTGCTAACACAAATGTAAGGATGTCCTTAACAGGAAAAAAAAAACCACAAAGGAGCGTTATTTAGTGTGCTGGCCGTTTATAGTGGGAACATTAACAACTGCTATCTACGAATGTTGACATTGTTAAAACAAACTGTCAAATCCGTGTTTGTGTGTTGAACTGTCAAAAAGACGTGCTACTTCCATCACCCTCCCCTCCTTAGGTGAGCAATGCATAGCAAAGCTTCTTGGTTAATGCTTCCATTTGTTCGATCGGCAACGAAGCCGACGCCGATCGTCTTTGGACTGGTCCGGCGCCGCTTTAAAATAATGCCATCCTGGCTTACTTCCTGGACACCTCAGAGATCATCTCGAGTTGGGAGTGCTGCTTCTCTTCACGTGATCTTCATGCCATTAGTTGATGTCTTTAAGAAGAAAACTGTATTTTCCAAAATCATTATCGTTGGGTGCTATAAGGTGGTCTTTTCTGGCTTTGGCCAGTTTCATCAAAAGCACTTCCCGCCGCTCCATCCACTCCCGGAGCTCCTGCTCGCCGTGGGCCAGCTTGCACGAGTCGTCCTCTGTGCACGTCCCTATGTGGAACCTGTCCCAACACACCACCACACGTCAATCGCTTGTTTACACTCCGTTTAAGACAAAATATTCTCTAAAAAGGGGCCACCTTGTTGAATGTTTTGAAAGATCGTAATTAAAGGTATGGGAAAAGAGCAAAGCTTTCAATTTCAATTTAAAAGCATTTACACTCTGGGCTGACTTCACATCTGTTGTCAGGCACCTTATTTATTCCATTTGAGTGCAGCATGATAGCTAAGTGCTGCTTCACCATGTTTGCTTTGACCTCTGGGCTCCACTAATTGACCCCCAGAGCCCTCCTGCGTTGTATCCCATCAGCATTTCTTTAATGTAACCAGGACCTAAACCGTTCAGCAATTTATGGACCGGTAGCAGAACTTTAAAACCTATTCTACAGCTGACTGTAGTCAGTACCATTGTATGCATTTTACAATATTGTGGATAAAATTAAAGACGTTACAGAAACATTTCCCTGGGCTGCTAATACTGTATTATTCAAATCAGTTGGCACTACCCTCTGAGGTCTGAAGCTAAAAACTTCCCTCTTAGAAGTCGAGCCATCCCAAAGGGTTTAGTACTCCTATCGTGTGTTCTGCGGTCCCACAAAGCTTACCTCTCACAGACTTTGAAAGTGCCAGTGGGAAATCGATACTGCCAGCAGTTGTGATCGTCCTCGGAGGTGAAGACTCGGTCTTTGTGCTTCTCCGAGGTGATGTGCTGCTGCCACTGCTTCTCGCTGTTGCAGTTCTTACCGCACAGCCAGCAGTGATTGCCGGCCTGCACCCAGCACACAGACGCACGCACTTAGTTGAAAGTCATCATCGTCATTGTGCTTACAATGGCATCAACTCAAAAAGTCGCATTTCGTTTTTAGCACAAGCGTACAGCCATAATGGGAATAAACATCCATGTCTCATGGTACGGAGGTAGGACGACAGCACAAGGTATGGACAAAATTTTGGAGCAATGGAGGAATGATGGATTTCGCCAATTCATTTTACTACCAGCAGAGGGTGCATTGCAGCTGAATTATTTTTCTGCGTAGAAAACAAATAGCCCAAAGTGGAAGAAAGCAAGCTTTGCTGCTTGACTATGAACCAAAAATATATATCTAAAAAAAAAAAAAGTAACAGCGTCAGCTTCCTCCATGGGTATTGTTCCATTTCAAAACACAATGACACAGTATGTGCAACGGCCCGACTCGGTGTTGATTACACACATAAGGATTTTAATTACTTAACAGGTTCAACATTTACGATTGTGGTTTTACAAATTGATCGGAGTCGGGGGTAAAAGTCTTTTTTTTTTTTTTTGCCAACTCACCACCTCTTCCATATAGTCTGTTGGCATGTGGATGGGCTTGCCATTCTCCCTCACAGACACATTTGCGTTCTCCTCACTCCAGCCCGCCTTCTGAGACTGCAGCCACTTGTCGTAAAGCTGATCAGAATCTGCAACTGGGAAAGCACAAAACCCGATTGCGAGCGTCGCATCAGGCCAGGTCAGGTCAGGTCAGCCGTTTGAATTGTGCCGCGAAAACAGAGGACTTACTGTTGTTTTCCTTCATGAAGGTCCAAAGATCTCGCTCCTCCGTGCTGTGAGCAAACGTGCAATTGCCGACATACTGACACTTCTTGCCGGCTGCCACATGCATACAAATCTGAGGGGGGTTTTAAATTATTTAAAAAAAAAAAAAAAAAAAAAACAATATGGAGACTTTTCTTTTTCGATTCAGATCTCATTATTTTTGGTAATGTACCTCAAACTGAGCCGGGATTGGCTTTTTGGTAGGGAGGGCTCTAACCGTTGTCCACTTTTTCCTTTCAATAGAACTTACAAGCACCACACGCTTGTCTTTGGCCCACCTGTAAAAAGAAAACTAGCTGAGCACCAAGGCGCCACCTCGTCTCGTCACTTCCGGCCCACGCATCGACTTACGTGTGCCTTGCCTTTGCTGAGCAATATTTTTTATTCTTGTCCGCTTCACTTAGCTGCCCGTTTCTCCAACACTGGCTACAAACAAACATCATCTTCAAATTTTGAGGACCAAACCTTCTTTGGCCTAAAAGCTGATGGATGGGAAGGACAAGTTTAAGTCTTTTTTTTCTCCTTTCTTTTTTTCAAGAAATATAATCAATATGACGACTGGATGTTACCTGGCCACCTTGTAATGCAATATTGGCGTTCCAATACGTGGTGGCTTCTTGAACAATACTTTCATGACTGATACCTGTGTGATACCAACAGAAAGAAGTCAGCAAAAAATCCATAGAATGTACATTGAACTTCCATAAAATGGTGACAGTACATTGCTACTCAATAATCTTTTCTTAAAACACCGCAGAATGTTTTTAAATTGTTGGGGGGGAAAGAAATCAGAAAGACTGCATTTTAATTCATAGAAGAAGAAAACTCTTACGGCGCTCATGCTGCAGCATCCAGACCTTCAGCTCGGTGAGGCTGTGAGCGTAGAAGCACTCGTCCTCTCTCATGCAGCCGTAACGCACTTCGTGTCGACACAGGTCGAGCTGGCACAGCGGATTCAACATTCGGATTTTGGAATACCGGACGGTGCTGTCCTTTAATATGTGCACCAGGCACCTGGCGGACAAACGGAGTCAATTAGAGAAACCCGTTTTGCTCCAGACTGCTTCCCTGGGTGAAGAAATAGCCGCAACCATACGTACTTATGTTTCTCAAAGTCGTGCTTGGTTACCGGGTGAGAGCAAAGCGCCGGGTTATCTTTGTTGGTTTTGCTGATTATTCTTGGTTTGTGGTCAAAACACACCTGAAAACAAAACGTGCGCTTTTACGTTTTTCATCGCAAGTCGACTTTCGGACCGACAACAATCGCAGCCGCTGACAAATGAGCACCGCTGACAGCTGCTGATTATCTCCCGCTAAACACAAAGAGGGGCCTTCCTCGCCACATTTAAAATGATGAATCTACTACTCAAGGCTGTCGTTTCTGCACCGACGCAGTGATGGAGAGAAGCCGTATACTCACTCCGCACAGAAAGACAAATATCTCAGGGTGTTCCTGTAAGATCTTGGCCACAGTCAGCCTCATGTTGGAGTTGGGCCCGAAAAGATCGAAGAGAAGTTCCCGAGATATAAGGCCTATCCGCTCTAGCGTCCAAACGTCAATCTCCTCCTGACAGTACGCAAACGTACAGTGACCTGGATAGAGACAATCTTTTCCCGCAGCCACCTCTGAGAGGGGGAGGGCGGAAAAAAAGGGGGGTGTAAAAGCATTTCAGTTCGACTAAAACTGTGTTTTTTTTCAGATATGAATACAACTCAGGTTTGAAGTCACGCTTCTGGAAGAATCAAGTGTACCTTTGCAAATGTAATAAGGGCCAACATATTGGGTTTTTGTTGGTCTCGGTCGAATGAGCCTCCATGTTTTATCAAGTAAATGTTTGAGTCTGCCCAGTAAAACATCCTTTTTGCATTTGTGCTCGTCAGTGTGGAGCGTGTAGTCCAACACGCCGGTTCCTGTCAACAGCGAGCACATTCCAGGTGACACGGCTATCGCCCACTCCCTCCCCAACATAAGAATGGACTCCTCACCTGTTCTGATGTAGCAAAGTGAACACGCCTGTTTGAATTCGTGAGTTTCGGCTAAAGGGTTCTTGGTGACGCCGACAGAAGTACCCTTCACCTCGGGCATTCCGACAGCCATTCCCGTCGGCGTTTCCATTTTGCTCAGCTGCGTCCAACAGAACATTTGAAGGTGAAGAGGTCAAAATGTCGCAAGTCACACGGTTATGTCATCATGCGAGTCACGGCTAGCCATTTACCTGTGGCATGAATGTATTTGAAGAATAATCTGAAAATGTACAAGCATGGCATTTGTGAGAGTCACCTTAATCTTGGTTACGGTTATTGACAGAAGGCTTGTCGCCTACGGATGTACGATTTAAAATGGCGTATCTTTATTTCTAGTTGAGTTGAGAATTCATCGTTACAGCAAATGGTTCATATCAATATCCGGGGCTTGAACATTAACTCATTCACTCCCAAAGACGTTTTTAAACGTCTTTTCAGACTTGGTCCAGAATTGGCTGGTACTGAATGAGTTAATAACCGGGTGTAAAACTGAAGCGCTCAAAATGTCACCTGCTATTCAAAGCTCATGAATGTCTTTTTTTGTTTGCTTTTTTTTAAGGACAAAAGTCGTATCGTGTCTTGAAACGATTTAACCCCTCATAGATTTGAGCTTCACCAGTCTCAAATATTGCAATTCGCACATTCCAGCGCAAGTGTGTATCAAAAGAGCAGCAGCACACCAAACCCTTCATGTGAAGTGCAACCTAACCTCTGGCAAACATGCCCAAGAGTCAACAACAGAGCAAATTGTTGTTCATCAAGAAAACAGCCTGAAGATCGAGACGGCTACCGAGGTGGACAGAATCAGAAAAAATGTGACATCCATGACGAGCGCAGGTTCGGCAGTTATTGAAGCATAAAGTAAAATATCTGATCCAGACTGTTTTTTGTAGGCGACAAGACTTTTATCCAAGCAAATTAAATGTTAACAATGTAAAACTTTATTTTGATACGAGGAGCATGATCGAGAAGGTTTTGCCTTTCAAATAAGCCATTTGGGAGTGCCATTGATCAGCAACAAGTCAGGTTAGTATTTATTGTTCCTACAACTTTAATAAGTGACAAGACTTTGGTCGGGAACTGTATATAGACTTAATCCAAGTAAAAAAAATTTCGACATGGAATCCTGTTAGGTCCTTTTTTCTCAAGCGAGAGACTGGTGTCAAATCATGAAACAAAACAAGAAAAACAAGCCACAAAAAGCCTAAATTTCCTAAAAATAATAATAATAATAATTAATTCATTGATTTTCATTGTTGGTCAATTTGGTCTGAAACATGGGAGATGAAGCTAATCTACGACATTTTTAAAAGACCTTTTTAAGGCCACTTTGGGCAAATCTAAGACTTAACATTTTATAAATTTGGAGATGGTTTTGAATTATTATTTTTTTCCAGAAATGTCAACATTTTATTTTTGACAGAATATGTAAAGGGCTCTTTGACTGCAGACTAATTTCAAGTTTTTGCTCATTTTGCAAAGAAAAGAACATTTTCATCTGCGGTATTTTGAAGACTTGAAGGTTAATTCATGCACTACCTTTGGAAAAGCAAATACAAGATCTGCAGACACCCTCTATTTCCAAATCATGCAGACCTACGGGTATTAGCAAACTGTGAGGGTTGGCGTGTGTGCATAGATGGCAAAAGAACGATGGTGAGTAATCGTACCTGTTTGAGGATCTGATAAAGAGAGGCTATCCAGTGTGTCAAGGGGCTGGGACAGTGTCTCAAAAGTGTCCATCCCAAAATAGGCACTGGATCCTAATTGGTGATACAGCGGCGGAAGATTGACGGTGCACTGCTGGGTGCCGCGTAGGAAAGGGTTGATGTGAGGCGGCAGAAGGAAGGGACTCGACATGGAGTTGACCGAGGGCATACTGGGTGGCAAAGGAAGAGGGCTCTTCATCGTGGATATGCCCTGAGGAAAGAAAGACAGCGAGACCGCCACAATTGAGTCAATCGCCAGACTCTGTGGGAGGAGAGTTTTTTTTTTTTTTTTTTTTAACACACACACCATTGCCATTTCGGGGCCTGCTTGGTCCAGCAGGTCATCCAAGTCATTACCGATGATGTCGCCGTCTAAGTCCTGGCTGCTCTCAAGTAGCGAGTGCGGTTTATTAGTTCGGCAGCCGTTCATAAAGGTGTTTACGGTGAGGGGGGCGGGCGAGGGTGAAGACACGGGGAGGGATAAAGACTCAAAGCCCGGAGGCTCTGACGGAGGCATTGATGGGATGCTGCTGGGGAGACGAAGCTCCTCTACCGCTGTGACCGGTGTGGTAACCGCGCCGCTGCTGACCGGTACCAATTCAGGCACTTCTGGAACACACAAGGAAAAAAAAAAAAAAAAAAGTTTTATCAGAGATAAATTTGGCATATTTTCATTTTCAAAATTGTGACGGTGGTTTGAACACTGACCAATTTCTATTTCTTCAACTGGAGAGGAGTTTTGGGATGCCTGAACAAGTGCAGATCAAATGTGCATAAGATGGCGCATTTCATAGCAAGAGGGACATTAAAAAGGTGGAGTACGCAGCATGAGGTTTTAAAACGCAGGTGTCAAAGTCAAGGCACGGGGTCCAGATCCGGCCCCCCATATCATTTTATGTGGCCCGCGGGAGTAAAAATCATGTGTGTTAACTAGCATGATTGCTGCTGAAATCTGAACCGAAATGTCAAATTGTCATGGGTAATAAATAACGTTGAGATTTTGCACCGGCCCGCCGGGGGAAGCCGTAGCTCCGAAGTGGCCCTCAACAAAATATGAGTTTGACATCCCTGTTTTAAAATAATAATTAAAATCCAATTATGAGGATGAGATGGAGCCAAAGTGGAATGATTTTTCGAAAGATCGTTTTAACGACATCCTAACGTCCGATCGTACAAACAGTTTCAACGTTTGGAGAAAAAAAAACATTTTTTGTTTGATCCTGCAAACTCCACCTTTGATGGATAAAGTGCACATTTGGCTTGTCACCTGGTCACAAGCGGCATCCTGATGACTCGATCCTCGCAAAACATTCAAAGCCGGCTGGCAAAAAGCAAAGAAAACAGAGTCGATCCCTTCCTTGCCCAGCAATTATTTGCGAAAATATATTATTTGCTGTCGGGCTTGGGGAAAACGACACTGACAGCTTACAGGCAACACTTACCTTCGTCCTTACGTAAGCTTTACGAATTTTCAACCCTAACGTTTTGGCGAGGTCCTGAGTCAGCCGTACAACACTGGGATCCTGACAGAGAAAACACAATTCGGACCTGTCTGATCGACACGATGTACCACCTTCGCACCGGGGTGTTTTTACTCACCTGAGGCACAGCTAGAGAGCACTTGGCCACAGCGTCGTAGGCCTCTTGATGCCTCCCCATCTCTTTTAAGGACTTGGCTTTTCTGTACAGCGCTTTGTAGTTGCACTCATTGAACTGCAGGGCCTTTTCGCAGTCTTCCAGTGCTAGATCGTACAGTCCCTGAGAAAGAGATATTGCGTTCACATGTTTGGAAACAACGACAACGTCGATCATAAACACACACATAAGGGTGTGGTTGCCAACAGGTTGTTCTCCGAAATACCCGCGTTGGCTCCAAATAGCATCATTCCCCAAAATTTAACACGCATGATTGAAAAGGAGGGGTCACTTCCTGAACATGAGACATGTCCGGTGACGCTTTCCTCACAGGACAGCGTGAAGAAAGAAAGGCTGAAGTGAATAATGCTCCCAAACTGGCGAGCTAAATGAGCACAAAGGGTCGGCAAATGCATTAGCTGCACTAGCGGCATTTCTTCCTCTCCTCTGGTCTGCTCTCATCGTGTGGTTGAACAAAACTACCATTCGCAATAGTAACGGTTTTGCCCACTCTGGTCAGATGACCGTCATCGGAAAAAAGTAGTCACATGACATGCATTTGGACAAGGCCTAATGGAGAAATTCATCCTCCATCCCGACTGTTTTCTGTGTGACAGTGCGCCAAACGATGTGATGAAGAGTCCGTAAAAGTGATCCAATTTGTTTAGATATGCAATCACGGTGTTAGGTTGAAGAATAACTCCACTTCTATTTCAACTCAAGACCTCCTTATTTAGCAACGGCGCTCCTTACATTCATGACAACAACCGTGCTCTCACTCCCCACATCATCGAAGCAGCACTGGCCCGTAGCATTCTTTTCGCAAGAAATGAAAGCAAGAAATAAACAACGGTGACGGTTTCATTTCGGTGAGCCACAACAAGAAGTCACCTGTTGCATTTGCTAGATTAGCAAGCCACAACATCTGCTGTTTACACAATTCCATCTCGTTCATATTTAGCCATGTAGTAGTTTGGACACCTAGTGGGGAGTGTACAGACCAACCAAAAGCAACTCACCGGGACGATGTTTAGGCATGCGGCGGCTCGATTTGCGTAAAGCTTCTCTAATAAACCCGTCGCCACAGAGATGTCCTCCGAGTTGGCGTAATCGGCGAGACTCAAGGCTTCCGTGTACATCTCGATGGATTTTGTCCAGTCGCCCTCTTTAAACACGTCGTTGCCTTCTCCAAAAAGATTCCAAACGAGATCCTTAACAAACACCTGAAAAGACAAACAAACAACGTTAATTCTTCGTGGTATACTCAGGTTTAATAATGTGGAGATGTTTATAGCTTACTTCATAATGATCTTGACTTCCAGGATATGGTAGCGTTGATCTACAAGCAAGCGAGTCGTGTTACAATAATTCGATTTCAAAACACATACAGGCTGACTAGCCTTGGTAAGTTATAGTGAAGGTAATCACAACACGCTATTTACATACAACAGATTATTAACAGATTTATTTTTAGGGTAAGACTGACCTCTAAGACCAAAACATTTATGTATAATAAACGTTATTTGGTTTATTGCATTTGCTAGATTAGCAAGCCACAACATCTGCTGTTTACACAATTCCATCTCGTTCATATTTAGCCATGTAGTAGTTTGGACACCTAGTGGGGAGTGTACAGACCAACCAAAAGCAACTCACCGGGACGATGTTTAGGCATGCGGCGGCTCGATTTGCGTAAAGCTTCTCTAATAAACCCGTCGCCACAGAGATGTCCTCCGAGTTGGCGTAATCGGCGAGACTCAAGGCTTCCGTGTACATCTCGATGGATTTTGTCCAGTCGCCCTCTTTAAACACGTCGTTGCCTTCTCCAAAAAGATTCCAAACGAGATCCTTAACAAACACCTGAAAAGACAAACAAACAACGTTAATTCTTCGTGGTATACTCAGGTTTAATAATGTGGAGATGTTTATAGCTTACTTCATAATGATCTTGACTTCCAGGATATGGTAGCGTTGATCTACAAGCAAGCGAGTCGTGTTACAATAATTCGATTTCAAAACACATACAGGCTGACTAGCCTTGGTAAGTTATAGTGAAGGTAATCACAACACGCTATTTACATACAACAGATTATTAACAGGTAATACAGACTAAATTATTGTTTTTGTTTGCTTAAAAAAATACATGGGAAGAGATAAAAACGAAGAGGAAAAAGATTGCACTTGGATTATTTTTCAAAGGGTTTGAGATCTATCTTTAAATAATCTCACTTTCTTTCAAAAAACTCCCAAACACTTTTATTACAGAGTGCTTTGGCTCCGTGTGCCAAAAACTCTACCTTGTGAGCAAGCATTTGGACAAAATCACCAAATTTCAAAATAAAACGAGCACGTTTTCATGACTCAAGTTGTGAGCAATAATCAGTTTGAGCTTGAGCAACACCAACAAACAGTCCATCTTCAGACAGTGTCGAGCACCAAATCGGACCGTTCACTGTTGACACTTACTGGATAAACTGTAGCCCTTTCTGGATCTGCTGCCAACGACTCTTTCTGTCCAGCGGGCCCAATCCAGACATGACTGCTCGCTCTCGTATCCACTGTTGGGTGTCAGTGCCTGGGAAATAACACAACACAACAGGCTTTTATTCACTTCTGATAAGACGTTGACACAAATACCGGTACATAGAGTCAAGCATACACCCTCCATTATGATTGAGCACAAATGATTCCTGGTTGCAATTTATTTTATTTATTTTTTTGCAACTTTCGTCCTGTGTTTATCGCACTTCCGTGTTGAGAGATGACGTCACACGCATCACACCGGAACCATGACATATTAATGACATTTGAATTGACTGGCGACATATCAAAAGGTCATTATAAAGTCCACCAACGGACACGGCACCGGTTGAATGGATGCTACACTAACTTTTTATTTCATTGATGAAAGGGGCCGACCAAATGTTTGGACCATTTTACGCCTCATTTCAGAGTAAAATTCATACAAGTTAGACCGGAGGATGTATAACAGACAGTAATCGGAAAAGGTTACGTCTGCACCGTTAAAAGGTGCCACACTATACTTTGTTCGGGGCAGACGTTTCGTAGTAACAAGCCGTCAGCAGGATTGTTGTTCTTCACGACAGGCTGACGTGTGCTCCGAGCCGCTGTTTGTTTCATTCGGTGTGATGGTGGAGGCACACGACGGCTCGTAAGCGGACGTGTCCGACGATAGACGCCTGACAATAGCGCACGTGTGGTCGCCTGACCAGTGTATATTTGTGGTTAGCAATTGTGCTCTCATTGCACATTATAGCCCTCCAACAGAGAATCTTGATTGGGAAACGCATGCGTTCACTTCGGCGGGGGAAATGCGAACGTAACTAGCAACACGATGCTAACTATAATTATGTGATAACTATAATTTCTAGGAAGTTGATTGGATCCAAATAAACCACAGACATATTCCAAGTTTAACTAGTTCTCCTACGCAGACAATAGCAACTTGTTCCATCATTTTTCCCTTGTTTTAAAGATCCCAGACTGTTTAACCCCCGCAGTAAAGTACACTTACGTATATGAGCGTGTAAAAAAGACAAGCCCCAAATCCAGCAGCATCCGAGGAGGAAAACGCTATTTTTCGATTTAGCGTAAATAAAAATGTTTACAAATTAAGCTAAATGTGCAGTAGCGCCAAAGGCCGCCTTCCAGGTTGTTCTTATTCTTGGCTAAATAAAAAACAGTGCTTTCAACTGTAACAAAAGTGCTGCCCCCTGCAGCGAGGGGAGGGATGAGCAAATTTTCAACTGGTACTCGTATCCATGTCAAAGGTTTTAGAACGCACCAGTTTTCCCACTGTTTTTCGATTTGTAACATAGTTCAGATCCAAGGAATATCTTGAAATGGTACAAACTAAGGTAAGTGTTGAACATATAATACAATACAATACAATACAATACAATACAATACAATATAACCTGATTTATATAGCGCTTTCACAACAGCTGCAAAAGCATTTAACAAAACAGTTAACACAAAGTAAAATAATAAACACAACACATAACATGAAACACGGACAGCCGTGCAATCTTAACCACTTTTACCTCATACGCTATGTTGTTTGAACTAGTTAGAGGGGAGAATCAAAGTGTCCTTTCACCAGTGCATCAGATATATTTACAAAGCACTTTGAAAACACCTGTCGCTGCATTAAAAAAATATGGTGTACATGGAGTGAAAACTCAAGACATACAAAGATGTTAAAACATCCGCCCATCCATTTTCTGATCCGCTTTATACTCTCAACTTCTCAAAGGTCACAGGGCGTGCTGGAGCCTATCCCAGCCGTCCAGGCGGGGGACACCCTGAACCAGGTGCCAGCCAACCGCAGGGCACACAAAGACAAACGACACCTATGGACAATTTGGAGTGTTCAATTAGCCTAACATGCATGTTTTTGGAATGTGGGAGGAAACCAGAGTGCCCGGAGAAAACCCACACAGGCACGAGGAGAACATGCAAACTTCACACAGGAAGCCCGGAGCTGGAATTGAACCTCTGCACTGTGAGGTTGATGCGCTAACCACTCGCCAACCGGGCCGTTGACGTTGAAACAGTACACTAATAATAACAACATAAAAACAGTAAACACTCTCCGCAGTCTCATGCTAAGTCAGTGTTTTAGACTCATTTTAAAATGCACAGTCTCCATCCTTTGGGATGAACTGGACAAAATACTGTAATGCAAGTGCCACACATTTTTAGGAACTTCTACAACAGAGATGGAGAAAAAAACTTGGTGAAGAGCAGTTCTTTTCTATCGTACAAAAGAAGGCCACAAGTGTGTTCAGCTGGCGACTTAATGAGTGAACCATTTAGAATACATTTTATTTCCAGATTGATTCCATAATTTGTACAATGAGAAATTGAACTGACCTGCATGATTTGCAGGTTTGGAAAAAAATTAGAACATAATGTGTGTGCTAAAACTTATGTCTGGTATTGTATTTATCTCATTGAAGAATTCTCAGGATGGATGGATATCATGGTTGAGGCGGCATGGTGTTCTGAGGTTGGGAATTTGAATGCTGCCTGTGTGGAGTTTGCATGTTACATTATAGCAATGCTGACTCTCGAACAGATTAATCCACTTCGGCTAGCTTTCAAGTGGTGTAGACGAGCATTAACACGGAGAGTGTTGTTCTGTTCTTTCAGAGGTTCACAGAACAAAATGCACTCATCATTTGTATCCTTAAAGGGCAAGATACTTTACAACAATAAACCGAAACCACAATGACTGGGAGAGGTTCAGTGAACATGTGATGGGTATGAAAAGGAGGTAAAAGGAAACTGCTTATCTGTCAGAATGAGGAACTGCTATGTTATTATTTAAAAAAAAAAATTAAAAAAGGAAATAACTCGACCCATTCCAGATATCAGAACACAACAAATGATGATGGGCTTTTGTGTGACAGAGCTGACAATATACTCTTTAAAAAAAATAAAAAATCAATGACGAATCTAATTGTAATCGATGGAGTTGTTTTATTCAGCGAGTTCACAGATTTACTCATGATGGTAACAGATGAGTCTTCCTGTACCAATTTAGTTGACGTAGGCTGCCTTTCATTTTCAACAATAACCCTTATTACATTTGCAGTACATAAGGTGTGTAGTCCCCAAAAAAAAAAAATGCCGGCGGGCCAGTTTGACAAACACCGGATTGGCTTAGTTGGCCAATGGGATGCTCGGGAGATTATTCAGACAACATCTAAAAAAAGATCCACAGCCTGTGTTTTACGCACACGCAGCGCGGGTGTGAGCAGTGTGCAGCTCAGTAGCTTGTGTGTCGCATGCCATGGCGGCCTTTCAGCACTCACTTTTACTCCTTGCAGGTAAGTTCGTTGTTTAACTTTAGTGGGGGTGGGAGGGGGGTTGAGGGGACACAAGTCTTTTTGAAAGCGTCGAAGGGGCCTGTAAAAACTGACAGCCTGAGTGGGGAACGTGACATCTTCCAAGTAGAAAAGACTTGAAATTCCTCCACATGCATTTTTGAATTGTGTTGCACTCCATTCAAATTGAAACTATTTTGAGCAATGTCTCAAACAAATCCATAAAAATATTCCACACATGGATTGCCCAAATTTTCTTTGTTGTTGTTGTTGTTTTTACTGAAAGTGGAGTGAGCTTCCTCTACGCGGGCAGATTGGTTTTCGGTTTGGAAGTGGCTTTTCAAAAAGACCAAAATGTGCATGTGCCTCCTGGCTGAGGAATAATGACCCAGCTGTGGCTGTTTCGCCTTTTGCCGGGTGTCTGAAACTACTTAGGAAACTTTGACTAAAGAAAGATGCACATGTTTATTTTTATTCAGCCTTTGAATATCTGCACATTCTCTGTCATCACCGGCATACACACATACGGTACATTTCTGTCCATACATTTGCCTTATTTCGGGCATATATGAGCTGTTTCCAATGAGCAACTGTAAAGTCAACTGTGAGTTGAAGGGAACGTCTGTGTTTGTGCAACCACTCCTCTCCGAGCAAACAGTTTATGAACATCTGCCATAAGAAGACAATGGATAAAAGTATGACCTAAAAGGAAGGGAAGAGGAGAAGAAATATGGATATGGATGTACATAATTGTCAAAAAATGTCTTGCTAGAGTAAAATAAAAGTGTGTCTCAATACTTTGTCCATATTGTGTAAGTGTAATAGGATTCTAGGATAATAATTTGGTTTTTTCATGAAATAGGATTTTTAGCTTTAAAAATTAAAAAAAAAAAAACAAAAACAAAATATATTTAGGGTACATAATATATATATATATTTTTTTTATGTCATGTTTTGCTCATCAGATAAGATGTTACAATAGCGGTTACGACATCTGCCTCAGAGTTAAGGTTCGGGTTTTGAATTTGAGCTGCGGCCTGCGTGTGGAGTTTACATTTTCTCACTGTGCTCCAACGTTTTATAGGTGTGAGTATGACATTTTTGATCTCTCTGTGCCCTGTGATTGGCTGGCTAGCTGAGATAGGCTCCAGGTCATCCGTGACCCAAATCAGGCTAAAAGTTTTCGAAAATGAATTGATGAATGGGCTATGTTTTCACATATTTTTATGGATAATTTGCACCAACTGTGCTGAGACATTGAAGTGGGTTAAAAATGTCAAACTGAGTTTTTCTTCTTTTGTTGTCTCATGATGCAGTGGCTGCGGCTTCTGCGTCCGTTGCGGCTTCTGTTTCCTCAGCGTCTGCCTTCTCATCACCGCGCTCGAAAAGAGGTCTGCTGGAGCTGGCGGGAATGATCAAATGCACCACGGAGAGATCGCCTTTGGATTACGCTTTTTACGGGTGCTATTGTGGACTGGGGGGCAGCGGCTGGCCACGGGATAGGACTGACTGGTGAGTGCAAAGTGCATATTTCGCCACACGATGTCAAGGCGTCCTTTGTTGTTTGCTGCAAATATCGCCTCGGGTGTTTATAGTGCTAAAAAAAAAATCCCGGTTGACACCCAGTACATGACCCACCTATACATTATGTGGTGCAGAGGGTATGAATTAGTGCCTATGAATCTGCAGGTTCCCAATTGCTTTATGGGGAGCCTTAAATATCATCTTGAGTACACTACTTCCCAATTCCACACCCACATCTTAATTAGCTCCATCGTTTCATGCTTTTGCCAACAACAACAAACTTTAAAATAACGTGCGATTCCACCCAGCACTTTGCGACCCTCCTTACAGCCTAAATTCGGTTTCACGCTCGCAGACTCTTGCACAATCTTCATTCTGGCCGCAGGTGCTGCCACAAGCATGACTGCTGCTACGACAGTGCAGAGCGCCAGGGCTGCTCTACCAAAACAGATCGCTATGATTGGAGCTGTGATGACAGGACAGCTAACTGTGGTTTGTTTTTTTTCTTTTCCTCTCTTGTGTCTCATGTACAGTATGAAACAGCAAAACCTCAAAGTTCAAAAATATGCACAAAATGGGTATAATGTTTGTGTCAGGCCAGTACATTTTGCAGGTGTTTTTTAGCTTCATCCCAACACTTCCAAACTACAGGATGATCCATGGGAACATAGGTCCTCTATGTCAGAGGTCCCCAATCCCCGGACCGGTACCGGTCCATGGGTCATTTGGTACCGGGTCGCACAGAAAGAATACATAACTTACATTACTTCCGTTTTATTCATTTCGGAATCTGAAAGATGTTTTATTTTGAAAAATTACCGGATCTTCTGTTACATCTGTCTACAATATGTCACTCTTGACGCAGGTGAAGGCGCGCTTCTCAGTCACGTGATAGGTTACCGCTAAAATGAAACCCAGGAGCTAGCAAAATGAGTAAAAAACAAAGTTTCTTTGGGAAGGGGGAAAGGCCCAGCCAGGAGACAGAGGAGGAGCCTACGACTTTCAAGAAAAAGCAGGCTACATTTAATGGACAGTGTCAGGAGTCCTACTTAAAATACGGCTTGATCACAACGGGAGATTCCCACGCACCAAGCCCAGCCTGCATAATATGCGGCGATGGTGAGTCGTATTTTTCATGCACTTTGTATTTGCGGTCGATCTTATTTTGAAGGCACGTGTAAACATTACCATAGAGACCAGAGAGTGTTGCGGCCAGATCGGACGTTCCTCGTGTAGCGATTCGTGTTTATTATTATGTTTCAAAAATACCACAGTTTTCATGCCGCTCATATCATATTATTTTATTTTATTTATCCGGCCTTTAGAGACCGGTCCCTGAAAATATTGTCTGACATTAAACCGGTCCGTGAGGCAAAAAAGGTTGGGCACCCCTGCTCTATGTGGCTTTGTCTGCAACAGCAGTGAAGAAGAAAAGTTTACACACCCCCATTCAAACAAGTTTTTGTGATGAGATTGAGCTTCCACTATTAATGTGATTGCCTGTGTTCATGCTCTACATGCATGCGTAAGCAAGCAAGCTCGCTCACACCTACACATTTTCACAATGCGCTCTGTACCTAAGAAGTCATTGTCATAGAATCCACAGTCAAAGTTTCATGAAATAAAATGCACACATGAACAGAACCTCTCTCGACACACTCATAAGACAAGCAAGATCAAGTCAAAGTGAAAAGCAACTTTTGCTTTGCTTAATTTACTAAATCATACCATTTATGGGTGAATGGAGTGCTTTTCTAAATTGCCCTGGACCAGATTACATTCATCCCGATGCAGAAAAAAAAAATATTTTGAAAACCCAAACACATCGGAAATGTTTTGAATTCCAGATCTTCCTATGAGCGACGCATGCAAATAGGACATGTCTCACATACCTGCACAACAGGCCTCAGGGAAACGAACAAGTACAACGTAGATGGCGCAATGTTTGATCACCTTTCTTGAAACATGCCATTGAGTATTTAAAGGGGTGTCTAAAGAAAAGCAGACGATTGAAGTCCATGCAAAAGTTACCCTTACTCTGTATGATTTGTCTTTTTTTCACCAAATCTGTGCCATCCTGTCAATCCTGCTTTTCCACTATTGACTAACACAAGTGTGTCATCCATTGCAGTTGATTTGACGGACACGTGTGAGAAGCTTCTATGTAAGTGTGACCGGGACGCCGCCAAATGCCTGAGAAATTCACCCTTCCAAAGGAAATTCACCCTGTGGCCGAATTGGCGGTGTGGCTCGCGCCAGCCAATGTGTAGCATTTACTGACCCAAGCATAAATTTATAACGACGGAAGAAAATGAGTTTTATAATCAATGGCCATACACCGTTGCAACAGTGGGCACTTTTTATTCACTTAATTACTGAGACACGAAATGCCTTGTAATAGTAAAACTGGTCTTTTGGCTATTTAAGAACAACGAGCTACTGGGGAAACAGGGAGTTTCTATATTCTTTTTTTTTTTTTTTAACTCTTTGTGAATTAAGCAAAGCAAATCTAATCTGTCATCTATTATTGATCCATTATTAGCTCCGTGGTTCGCAAATTTTTTAGACCACGTTCTACCCAAGAAAAAGCTTTGATAGTTTAGTAACCCGTCACGCCTAACATTAAAATACGTCACCATCGGAGGTGTCAGTATGAAAAAAAACACAGAGCTTTTGTTTCTATAAAAAATATTTAATGTTATTGTATGACACTGAAACATTATGCAGAGTTTCAACATTATATCTGTATGTAACGTATGACACAAGTTTATGCATATAAACTTTTATAACCAAAGAAACTGACCGGCTCAATACATGGAAAGAGCTCTATTATATATACTAGTTGTGACGGCCTTGGCGCAGGCGCGGTGGCCAAGTGGTAAGGCGTCGGTCTCGTAAACCGAAGATCGCGGGTTCGAACCCCGTCCGTGCCTTTTACAATAAGGTTGCGTACTAGAAGGGGTCAATTTTAGGATTATCGCCAACCGATTGTAAGCCATTAGGACTTTGCGTCGTCCTGACTCTTGAGTACTCGGCTCATGTTTTTAAGTGAAGGTTCTTCCAGCCACGAAGACTCCTTCTGTGGGGTGTCCATCTTTATGTGTCGTTGTCATATAAAAATAACAAAAAGATGGACACCCCACAGAAGGAGTCTTCGTGGCTGGAAGAACCTTCACTTAAAAACATGAGCCGAGTACTCAAGAGTCAGGACGACGCAAAGTCCTAATGGCTTACAATCGGTTGGCGATAATCCTAAAATTGACCCCTTCTAGTACGCAACCTTATTGTAAAAGGCACGGACGGGGTTCGAACCCGCGATCTTCGGTTTACGAGACCGACGCCTTACCACTTGGCCACCGCGCCTGCGCCAAGGCCGTCACAACTAGCATATATAATAGAGCTCTTTCCATGTATTGAGCCGGTCAGTTTCTTTGGTTATAAAAGTTTATATGCATAAACTTGTGTCATACGTTACATACAGATATAATGTTGAAACTCTGCATAATGTTTCAGTGTCATACAATAACATTAAATATTTTTTATAGAAACAAAAGCTCTGTGTTTTTTTTCATACTGACACCTCCGATGGTGACGTATTTTAATGTTAGGCGTGACGGGTTACTAAACTATCAAAGCTTTTTCTTGGGTAGAACGTGGTCTAAAAAATTTGCGAACCACGGAGCTAATAATGGATCAATAATAGATGACAGATTAGATTTGCTTTGCTTAATTCATAAAAAAGAAGGTTTAAAGATTTTCCTGATTCAAAAGAGAACATGAGAGAGATTCGCTGCACTGTTATGAATTTGCAGCTGACATTTGTTTAAGCCTTGTTTGCAAGTCGGATGTTTGCTGACAATTTCAACAAGTTCACCGGCTTGCAAACAGAGGCCTTATTTTTAATTGCACAACAAAAGCCGCACACAACCGGCGGTGGCAGCAAAAGGTCAACAGAATGAAATGTGATCCTAATCCGCAACAGAAAGTCCCGACATTGAGCTTGCATAGCGAATAGCGTGGAAAAGCACATGGCTGGGTGCGATTGTTTTTTTTCTCCTCCTCCTTCCAACCCTGCACAATGTATGAAGCTTGGACGCACCGTCTCAAGCCAAGTTCAATTAACATGAGTAAGATGCAAAATATCAACGCATAAAATTTTACTTGGCCGCTTTATTTGAAAACGAGATAGCACTGTGGGGTTTCTGTGCTTGCAAGAGTTACCACATGCATGCAGCGTAAAGTATATTCATAGCTATGAATATATTTTGACAAGGACCTTCCTGCCAGCCAACGTGGATGAATGTGCTTGTACGAGACAACTCACGTCATTCTGCGAAATTTTCGGTCTGCCCTGGAGCGATCTTGTAAAGAGTGCAGTTAAAACAGCCACTATTTAAACATCCGAGTCTTCGGTTACTCAGCACTCCACTGCATGAACTGATCTACAGCCTCCCAGTAGGACCAGCATGTTGCTGGGGTCCTGCCGGGGAGCTGGTGATAGCTTGTGACCAGCTGGAGTCTAGTTGGTGTCAACAGCTACCAGCGGCGCAACAACAGCATGTTAGTCTTGCTGGGTGGCTGTGGCGCAGTTGGTCGAGTAAGTTAACCATTACCAAAGGTTTAGCTGTTTCAAATTTGGCTACTTTTGCTGCTGGTCTTGCTAGTGAAACCAGTAAGACCAGCATTCTGCTACTGTCCTGCTAGACCAGCACGAAAATACAACAAAACCATGCCGGTCTATGCTGTTTTTTTGTTTTTGTTTTGTTTTGTTTTGTTTTGTTTTTTTTAATTATTGATTGATTGATTGATTGATTGATTTAGCAGCGAAGAGGCAGAAAACTAAAGTGGTCACTGTGAGAAGGATCGGCTTGATGTGACCCTGACCATAATCCGGCGTGCTGGTGTGAAATCCAACTGAATAATCCATTTGATAATAAAGCAACCCCCATTTCTCTTGTAGTGCCCCCCCCCTCACCCCCATCCCCACCACATGTTCTCTATCCGTCTCATTCTCATTTAACTTATGATGAGGTCTCTTTGTCTAGTTGGGTTGTGCAAGTTGTAATATAAAGATGATCAACTTTTATTAAGTGTAGGTTTATGTGGAAAAAAAGCCATTGTGGGAAACCCTTCTAGAAGCCTCCTCACCCGATGTCATGCCAGATATAAAAGTGCATTCAGGGACTATCACGTTGAACCTTTTGAGACTACAGGCTCATGGTAACCAAATATTTCTGGCTTCTGTTGCGTTATCCCCGTCATTCTGAGGACAACACGTGTGGCCAGCAGACGTTGCAGCATGGAACAGGACAACAGCCAATGCAGCATGTTCAAGATGCCCTCCTGCTGGGCGGCCTGCCAGCCTGTCAATACGGCATTTTGATGTCGGATGAAAATGAGAGCACCCCCCTCACACCCCCCGCAACAGAGAGAGAGGGGCTGGAACAGAGAAAGAGAGGACTCGAAAAGGGAAGAACCCTCGACAGATGGACTCGCTAGTGATTAAAGATGGCGGCGGTCTTTGCTACGGACCACGAAGGAGGCTGCTGGAGCCGTAGTCCGGCGGCGGAGAACCGGGTAGCCCACAGGAGGCGAAAGAGGCAGGTAGGACGCCTGGTTCCTTGGCGTGGTTCGTCGTCATCGGTCCATTGTCTGTCTTTAGTGTTGGTGACACGCTGGTGCTGCTGTGTTTGGACTGTCATCAAAAGCAGAGCACATCATTTGATGTGACCCATGAATGTGCATTCGAAAGGCGGCTAGAGACCAACAACGTTTTGATTTCATTTTAGTCCTCCACCTAACCACTGTCCGATGACATACTTGCCTCTTATCGGATATCTTGCTATTATATCACCGACCTTATTTCATTCATTTATCCGTGTGGAGCTTGAGCTCTATCGGTAGTAGAAATAAGTCCAGAATTTGCTCGATCCCGCTGTTTAATCTACTCTTGTTAATTATGACACATTCAGCCAGGACAAAGAACATCAGCTGGACTCCAGCATATATTTTCTGACAGGCTTTCCCAGACGGCCAAATTTTTAATATTCAAAGCCAGATTTTGAATTACACAAGCAGACACGCACAAACAATGGCTTTAGGTGTCTCTCTTGAATGTTTAGTTGAAGTTGTAGGCTTTAAGAACATCGCAGTACTGTCTTGTTCCGCTTGTGAGTGCTTTTGAAGGAGAGACATCTTTGTGTGCTTTTAGAAAAGAAGCGTTCCTCCAAATATCTTAATGGGCTTTTGTTCATCCATAGCCGAGATAAGCCCATTTCATCCAAGGCCTAAACAAATCCACATTGACGCGTGGAACAAAGGCCGATGAGAAGCCCCAATGGGAGGAAAACGTGGAAGCTGTCTGGGACAAGGAATGCGACTCTTTACTGAAATAGTTTTAAGATTTTAAAGCTTCTCTATGTGGATAAACAACAACAACAACAAAAAAAACATCCGTTTCGCTCATTTTGGCTTTAAATACAGCTTTTACGAAGCTGTGGCAAAACTGAAACGGTTCAGTAGGGCAATCGCATTACTTTTAAGTGAAGGTCTTTGCCAAGGAATTCAATACAAAACGGGGGGAGGATACTTTCAATCCGTCTGAATTGACTGACAACTACAGAGGCACGGTCGTAGGCGAATATACGGCAATTCCGCCAATTGTTTTACAATACAAGTTCAGAAGACACTAATAAGGAAGTATCAAATGAAAACTGTCCTGTGAATTGAAAAATTAATACATATATCATACCATCAAAAGTGAATAAAGAGATACCATTGTTGGTCTGAAGTAACAAATCCGTCTGAATTGACTGACAACTACAGAGGCACGGTTGTAGGCGAATATACGGCAATTCCGTCAATTGTTTTACAAGTTCAGAAGACACTAATAAGGAAGTATCAAATGAAAACTGTCCTGTGAATTGAAAAATGAATCAATATATCATACCATCAAAAGTGAATAAAGAAATACCGTTTTTGGTCTTAGGTGACGTTATATACTCTCGAAATTTGAACATGATCCTTTGTCAGATGAATTTATTTCATCATTTTACTGCACAGGGCATAGGGCAGAAAAAGTGGTGAAAATATGCTATCTTCATATAATTGCTGTTTCTTGTGACATTATTGTGATGCTCTGAATCCAGACTTTTAGCCAATATTGATATCTTCTAATTATATAATTGCTTGTTTTTTGTTGTTGTTGTTTTTGCCATGCATGCTTGAAAACATGCAATTTTATTAGCATGACTTCATAGTGAAAACAACATTCTAAGCCACTTTCACAACATCATCATCAACAATAAAAGTCAATCCATGTGTCATCCTCGGGGCCTTCCACATAAATAACTTAAAGGCATCAGGGCCTGTTGAAAGGAAGACTTTCTTCTCTTTCAGATACAAATGGATGGAAAAGACCAAGTCGGGCGACCTTTCCTTTTCATGGAATCCAGGCGCATTTTACATGAACCCAAAACATGTCATAACTTTGCAATGGAATCGTCAGTGATTGAACGTACGGCTGGAGGATGCAGCGGAGGGATGTTCAACCACGAGGTAAAACAGCATTTGTTCAACTCAATACTGAATACAATGTTCCAATTGTTGGATGATCATTACCAGAGAAGGGATTTAATGCTGTTCAGCCGTCTTTCTAAACTTTCATGTTTCATGGCATGAAACCGCTTAAAATGTTTGAGCGGGCACCAGTGGTGATACGATGAGGCAGCGTGTGAAACAAATTCCTGCACTTTGTTGCGCTTGAGTGTTTTGATCCATATACGCCATCAATTTGGCCGCACGTGTTATGCTCGTCCAGCGTTTATCCCGAGTGCAGTAGAACTGTGCGAGTGCTCAGTAGCTGCCAGGTATGAGAGCGGATCTGAGACTGGCTCTTTGGCAATATTTGCCTCATTCTGTTTTCTTTTCTACTTTCAAGTCAAATGGTGACATAATTAAAAGTGCCTGGTGGGCTTTGCGCCGCACAACACAGGAAATCGCTGTGGCGTGTTAAAAGGAAAGCAAAGTGTGACTTCCTTTGTTGTGAAGTTAACTATGAGCTAATGCTAATACATCAACCGACTCCCTGTAATCATCTTCAGACGCTCGCCATGGTTTACAATGAGAAATTGAACATGCTGTTAGTTAATGTTGCTTCGACTCATGATGTGAGCTCATGAGACGCTATGCTAAATCACAGCTTTTGTATCTGCTTGCTTGATTATGCACTTATGAATAAATAAAGACAAACACACACAGAGTTGGCGTTTGTATTCAAACCGCTATGTCGAACACGAGGCTGCGTTGGTGGAAGGTTTCCACTGGTGAAAGGAGACTGAGATTCTCTCTTTTTCCATCGATAACGGCTTCAAACAATGCGTATGCCGGAATAGTTATTTCAGTTGTATTATCTTCAATGCTTTATGTTATGTTGTAATGTTGATATTTTATGTTAAATGTTCTGGAAAGTGCTTTGTTACAGCTACAGCTGTTGTGAAAGCGCTGTACAGTACAGTATAAGTAAAGATGCATTGAATAGAGAGAAAGATGGATTTGCAGGGCGCCCTTGAAGGCAACACAGTCGAAAGATGGACGACATCCATGGAAAACTCTTGATGCAATTCATCATTTTGGCTCTAAACACCTCGACAATTAATTTGAATTGAAACAATCAAGATGTGCTTTAGCTGCAGACACCTTCAGCTCTAATTTGAGAGTATTTACATCCAAATCAGGTGAACAGCTCATTCGGGTTCAAGGAGGTGATTGACTTGACCATTAGGCCGTCCTACTTTTTACTGTGAAGTGCCGTCAAGTGAGTTCTGAAGTATTTGGCTGAAGCAGATAATGTACGAAATACCTCACAGTTCATTCTGCTTCTTTGAGTTCTGAAGTATTTGGCTGAAGCAGATAATGTACGAAATACCTCACAGTTCATTCTGCTTCTTTGAGTTCTGAAGTATTTGGCTGAAGCAGATAATGTACGAAATACCTCACAGTTCATTCTGCTTCTTTGCCAAGGGTCAGAATAATAGACAAATAATTCTTCAATCATCCACCAAAGTTGTTGTCCATGATCTTCTGGATATTTTAGCGTTGCTGATATTTACCAGTGCGTTGTTTCATACCCAATCGTTTATTTGGCAAACCTCGTGGTTTTGTTATCACTCTGATGCATTTCTTTTAAATTTTCAGTACAATTATAGCTTGCGTCACTGATAGTGACAGCCGTTTGGATCTCATATTGAGAGTTCGCAGTAATATATTCCAAATGCAAATGACACGCAATGAAATCAAGTTCTGTACCCTCAAATTACAGCTGCAAGTCTGCAGTTAAATCACATCTTTTTTTGTTTCACTTCCAATCTATTCCAATGGTGGTATTTAGAGGCAAAATGATGTACAACACAATACATCTTTATTGATATAGTGCTTTCACATACAGAAAGACAGCTAAGATTTGTAGAACATACAGTAAGGTGCAGTACAGCGCAGTACAGCTGTAGTTGTGGGCAGCGGCAATGCGCCCATTGGCCGATAGGGGCGCCGCGCACCATCTTGCAGCAGACACATTAGAAGAGAAGAGAGACAGCCAAGGCTGACAGCCGCCGAGTGTCCTCTTTGTTACGCTTCAAAACTCTCGCCATCCTCAAGTATGACACCGTCCGAGGCGGCTGCCGGTTCCGGTCCAGATGCCCGCTGCGTTCCGCCGGGCCGAGAAGGTGAAGTATTTCTCACTTTTGTTAGGGGCTCGCGCTGACAGCGGAGGAGAGATTGCGGTAGTCAGTAGTGAGGGGCGAGGGAGGGAGATAAGAGATTAAATGCGTGCGCTGCCGTCGCTTTACTGCTCGGTGGAAAATCCGCTCGGAAATGTGCGTGGAAATGTCCTGAGTGTGCTTCTCGACGCCCGCGGAAGTGTTGGCGGTGGTCTCGCTTCTCGCGCGGACTACTTTATGTGCGCGCGGACGGCGGAGGCAACGCGGACATGTCAGCGGGTGAACAGTGGCACAAAGTTGTGCACTTGTCGGTGTGCCACCCGGAGGCCTGCTGGCTCGCCGTGTGTGTATTATGTGTGTACACCGAGTTAGTTTCAGGCGCCCCTCCCCCACTTTGGCCGCCGCTCTCATGTTCATTTTTGACATGAATGTGGCGAGGCTCCTTCACGTCAAAGAGGAACGACCACTAACAATTCCATTTTGTTACACGTACCTGCCAGGACCTCCCCAAAAGACCACACCTGCGACGGCAGGTCAGCCAATATCAATGCGCTAGCTTGCGACCGAAGAGCAACCAACGTAGAAACCAATATGCCGATATAATTGAGCACATTCACAAATGAACAGTTAATTGTTGCCCAAAATTCACAGTGGAGCAGCCAGTTAAACACCAATGCTCGCACGACAAGATAAATACAACGTAGAACGCTCCACGTGGCTATAAATGCCCAAATAATCACACAAATAATTCACAGACCATTACATTTTTACAGTAATCATCCTCTTAATGCGCTGCATATGCATCTCAGACTAGTTCATTTTGATATTAATGCCCAAACTAAAAACTCAAATTCACCTTAGGACATCCATCCATCCATCCATTTTCTATAGCTCTTATCCTCACTGGTGTCGTGAGTGAGCTAAACCTAATTCTTGCTGATTTATAGAGAGAGGCCTTGTGGATAGAGACAAAACAACCATTCACCCCATGTCCGTTTTGGAACACTCATTTAGGTTATGAAACTGAAAATAAGAGTGCAAATGTATCACAGAATATTCATGCCCAAGCAAACAGGATTAATGCATCATAAAATAGCATGCCTGGATATTAGTAAAGGCACGAATGCCTCTAGTCTACTCTGGTAAAGTTCAGCACGTCAGCCAAACATGCTTCTAATTGTCAAAGTTGTTCACAATTCCCAAAAAAACGCTGCCTTTAAAAAAAAAAAAAAAAAAAAAATATAGTTGTTAGTTTTTAACATAGTCTATGAAATTATGTTTGGTGTGCACGCGTGAGGCAAGACAGAGAGTGGGTGTGCCCTGAAGCACTCCGCAATCACGGTGGATTTTTTTTTTTGGGGTGTATTATTTAACGCAGCTCAAGTTAGAGTGTGTCAAAAACTAACATCACAAACATGTCACACTTTACCAGAGACTCTTGTCAATCCAAATGAAAACCACACCCTAAAACAATCGAGGTATGCTCCTTAGCGTCTTTGCTTTACAATTATGCCAATGACGCATATTTGTCCTTGAACGACCTTTCGAATCTTGACACATGCAATGCTTCAGTTGACCGTGCAATAAGGACACGTGAAACACAAATGAAGTGTGATGTAAGAATGAATCAAGCGACATTTGAAGTACATGGAGCTAATAGCAGGCAATTTAATTAATGCCCCAAACCTCAAACAAGCCTTTCATCATGATACACCCACTCTAGTGCCAAACTTATGCTGGTTTAAAAAAAAAAAAAAAAAAAAAGACACATTATTAACTCATGTTCATCCTATTTCCAGGCAGAAAGTTGCATTGAGGTCAGGCGGAATCAAAAGTGTACAGGGACTATAGACCTCATACTGTTTTTGTGCACATTTTCAGTAGATTTTATCGTAAATTAAACCCAAAATCAAGCCGGTTTATGATTTAAACATTCAGCACTTGATGATTTCCTCTGGCTTCATGCTGAATTCGCTTTAATTTTAGTGTTCAGCTTGGAACTGGCCACTTGAGTCCTTCACGAAAAAGCTGACTGTGCAGAATAATAATAAAAATGGGATGCATGCTTATGCCAGAGTGTTGTGGGTCTTATGGATATATTTTTCCCCCTATGCAGGAGTTACTTTGCTGTGGCGAAAGTAGGCATCTGGATCTAGTTATCGTGTTTTTCGCCCTCAACGGGGACATTCTACTTGGATGCCAGGACTATGAGCGTGAGCAACCACGGGGGCTTCCTGGTCGACCCGGGTGGCAGCTTCAATGAGGATGCACCCAGACCTCCAGTTCCTGGGGAAGAGGGCGAGCTGGTGCTCACCGAGTGCCACAGCTCCGGCATCCCGCTATCCAGAAGCCTCAAATGTGAAGCGTCCGTGGCCACGCCCAGGCGGCCGGACCAGGACTTGGGCTACGAGCCAGAGGGCAGTGCCTCTCCGACGCCGCCTTACCTGAGATGGGCGGAGTCGCTTCACTCGCTGCTGGACGACCAGGATGGCATCCATCTCTTCAGGATGTTCCTCAAGCAGGAGGCATGTGCCGACCTGTTGGACTTTTGGTTTGCGTGCAGCGGCTTCCGCAAACTTGAAACTGCTGAAGGCAACGATGAGAAGCGGCTAAAACTGGCGAAAGCCATCTATAAGAAATATGTCCTGGACAACAACGCTATTGTTTCCAGGCAGATCAAACCGGCGACTAAGTCTTTCATCAAAGACTGTGTGATGAAGCTACATATCGATCCGGCCATGTTCGACCAGGCTCAGACTGAAATCCAGACAACAATGGAGGAAAACACCTACCCTTTATTCCTTAAATCAGATATATATTTGAAACACGCTCAGACAGGGGGAGAGAGTCCCAAACCGTATGCTGATCAAAGCCCACTTCAGGGTCACACAAAGAATCTGGCGGGCTATTTGCCGACATTAAATGAACATGAGGAGTGGAGATGTGACCAAGAGTCGGAAGAGCACCCCGAGTGTGACCTCACGCCCAGCAGCAGGCTCACTCAGAGGCTGCTCACGGAGACGCCGTCACATCGCACCGCAGGAAGATTCCAGGAAGAGTACAGGTAACTCCTCAGAGCTTCATTATTTTCCCCCCAAGCTTTCCTCTGCCAACTGCTGAATTGGAAGTAACCCCCCCACCCCTCCCGCCGCCTCCAGAGCTGCCCGAAATGTGAGATGAAATGTGTGTAGTGGGAGATAAGAGGCAGATGGTGCGTGAAGAATTCCAAGTACTTAAGTTGGGCTGATGAGGAGGCTGCAGGGGAACTTCCACTTTTTGTAAGTCAGAGAAGCGGCGTCTTGTGCTGCCACTTTGTCTTAAGTCTGCGACTGCTGACTAAATGCAGTGTCCTGCTTATCTTCTGGATATGGTTTGTTTTCTTTGTCTGCCTTCTTCCCAGTAATGTCACTGTCAGTTATCAAAGCTCTCTTCAAGGCACCATCCATGGTTCAAAATCAGATTATTCAGATTAAACACAAAGATAATCAGTCTGCTACACAGAAGACTACAGGAATCACAGAGTATGGTAAATCCCCCTCCATTGTTGGAGTTACGTTCCAAAACCCCCCTGCAATAAGTGAAATTCACGATATAGAATGACACCCTAGGTGTCTTATAGCATTTACGGCATTTTTTAAAGGTATTTATAGACATTTTTAAAATGATGTAAACCCATTAAAATGCGTATATTAAAGGTGAAGTAAGCCCCAAAATTTTCTTTACAACAATACGTTACATGTAGCCCTACTAGTCCAAACATGGCATTCTGATTAATATTCGGTTTGTGGAATATGAGTTAAGAAGTAAAATCCTCTCGTTTTTGTCCATCTCAGGGCCGGCCATTTTGTTACTTGCTGTCTGAAACTGACATCATAGTTGCACATGCCTCTGGTTATGACTAATCATGGCTCAGCTTCAGAAAACAGGTGAGCCGTGATTGGTCGTTAATTTGAAATAGCAGCATTTGGCTTCCTTCGGCCGCAATAAGAAATTCCAACACCAAATAATAACTATAACTAAACAGCACATCTGAACAGTGCTGTGAGTTTTCCTATCGATACTGTATGTTCCCGAGCTGTAAGAGTCAAGGGTAAAAATCTTTTTTGTTGACTTTCAAAAAATGACCAATGTCTAAAATAAATAATGGATACTGTTTGTAGTGTAAGAGACTCACATAGGAAAGTTAAAAGCTAGCAAAGTGAGCACACCGAGAGACATTGCAGTTGCGTGAAGAACACAACCAAAGGCGAGTGCTGCTGCTCAATATTGATAGTGTTTGAAAGTGTGCAAGAGGGAAAAAAAATGCACATCTCACCGCTGCAGTGGTTTCAGTCATGTCCATCCAGACTTCTGTGATGTATAAATAATAATGGAGCCACAGGTATAGCGATGCGATCTCTAGTTCAAGAATCAATCATCCTGGCTTTGTACAAAAAGACTCCTCTTGCCTTTCTCTATTGACCTTTCTCTAAACCTCACCTTTTTTTCCCTCTCGTAATTCCCTGATGTCCCCTTATTTCGTACTCTGCTTGTTGCATACATTTCCATTATTAAGGGTTGTGGAAGCTGAAGGAATTAGCCGGTTACAAAGGGTTCTCATTGAGCCTTTTTTTTCCCGTGAGCATGTGCATTCTAAACAGGAAGGGAGCTCGGTCGAATGCTTTAGGGACTTCCAATGTGAATAAGAAAGACAATGTCGAACATCTATAATTCATGCGCGGGAAGCGTTGTCAGAACTATTCTCGGCAACGTCAAGCACAGAATCTGAGCGATGTCAAATGAATGTCTCGATGTTCGACGTACATTTGGCTTGTTAAAATTTGGTGTACTCTGCAGTCATCACAGCAGCAGGATGGTGGCGAGCAATGACTGTATTGAAAATTCAAGCACTTTGCACTACAAAGTTAGTTTTTAAATTCAAAGATGTTCAACATGTGGAAAGGAGAGAATATTCTATAGGTTTTAAGTTGGCTACTTATTATTATTTGATGTATTTTACTGGTAAAAAGAACAAACAGAAATGGTGTTGGTATTGTACCGGGGGGAACACCGCTTGATTATTTAGCCCCCCACCACGACCAAAAAAAAAAAAATCACGAAAGATGCACCTTATTCAATGATCATTGAAGCATATCTGGAGTGAGATACTAATTCAATCTTAGTCAGTGATGCTGTATTGTATTTTTTATTTTATTCTCCCTCAACCCGAGGAAAAAAATGTTTCTTTTCACACTACAGTGTTCATCCAATAATTTATTATATGCAGATAAAAACATGTACGCTACATCATGAAGTCCATGTATCTGAAGATGGGGAAACTTGTAAAACCCATGAAATTACCTTGGGATCGCCCTTTTTTAAAGAACAACCAGGTGTTCTAAGATTGACATTTTAGGGTTGCTCCAACCAAAATGTGGTGCTGACACGCGAATGTGAAAATGAGAACACCACATGCGGGCATAATCTGATTCTCCTGTGTGCTTAACACAGGAAATTTTGACTCTAAATTATTTGCGCTTTGCAATGAACATGGTCTCTAAAACAGAACCTTGAGGTACACCGTTGTCAATTTTTGTTTTCACTCCAGACATACACCCGGTCGGGAGCCCGCCGACTGCTACTATGCCAACGCCGGTCATGCATTGGCTCCAGCCACCAGCGCCAACGACAGTGAGCAGCAGAGTATGTCCAGCGACGCCGACACGCTTTCCCTTACTGACAGCAGCGTGTAAGTATTTATTTATTCTTTTTTATTTATTAATTTTTTCATTGTTGTTTTTTTTTTTTTTTTTTTTTTTTTAGTTGAACAACTTCAAGAGTTGTTTATTTATGGGAGTATTTCTGAAAATGTTTGTTTATTTCAGAGATGGCATCCCGCCCTACAGATACCACAAACCTCATCGGCGGGAGATGCACGAGAGCGCTCGAGCAAATGGGCGCGTGCCGCTGCCGATCATCCCCGTGAGTTATTCATGGTTTGCCTCCCTCTTCCCTCCTCCATCTCATTTCCCTCTCGGCTTCTTTCAACTGTCTGTCTCTGCTGTATTTGTCTCTCTTCACGTGCACCCTCGGAGATGGTGCATATTTACCGTGTGTGTGTGTGCTATGGGGCCTGTGAGGGAGTATAAGTATAGCGGCGAAGGGAAGGTTGTCTAAACGTAGCTCCTTGCTTTTCGGAAGCTGCTCCCAAGCAGACGAGAAGGCTCCCCCATGACAGCCGGATGCCTCCCCCGTGCAGCTGAGGCTGCCTCTCGCCAGCCCTAATTAGGCCGACCAATCGGGAGGCGGTGTGAATTGACTGCATTTTACAGCGCTAATCCTCCCTCATGTGTCCTAATGAAGTCACCGTGAATTAACCGATATGAGGAATGTTAAGTCACCGTTAGATCGTTCTTCAACATTCAAAGTCTTGTCTTTTGCACAATCCCGCAAAAGGTTGTGAACTGAAAATGTACTAAAGTCGCAATGTCCCCCTCACCCCTTCCCCTTTCCAGCGCACCAACAGGATTCCGAAAGACATCCACGTGGCGCCGGAGCGCTTCGCCGCTGACCTGATCCTCCGCCTGGAGGGCGTCCTGAGAGAGAGGGAGACAGAGGAGCGACTCAGGAGGTTGCGACTGGTATGTCCGTTCCATTCTTGCCCACCAAATAAGCTACAAGTGCTGTGTTAAGTTCCAGTGCCTTAGCACACGAACACCATTCACGCAATGCGAAGTCTTGTATGTTGTGCATTCAGCGAGAGAACCATCTCTTAAGACAAGCATTTAAACCGATAACATTTCATCCTAGTTTGCCCGTCCGGCACCGGAAGCGCCAGTCAATGTGCGTTTCAAGTTTTCAAAGGAGACTTCAATGAAATTAATGAGGCCAGCTATTAAGAGTAGGCAAAATAAATAAATAAATAAACGGCGTGACATGAATCACTTGGCGAGTTCTGTCTTCGGCCTGCCGGCAATTTGACTTTGTGCACCAATCAGATGGAGCACCTGCGCTTGTAAGCCGGGAACAGCGTGGCAGCCGTTTAATGTCACTTGAGTGCCAGTGAAATGCACCTCAGTACGCAGAGCCAAGTCTTTGGTTTGGTTTGGATCCGAATGAAAAGTGGAAGCGAATAACACGCACGCTAACTGGTACCTTAGCCTTGGATTCTGCAATATTAGATTCCACCGTCTCCTCTTTGCCCTCAACCCCCGCCCCTCCCTCCAAATACAATTCATGGTTGCTCCATTATTTTGATGTGTTTTTTTTGAAAATGTACACGATGCATATATGTATTGGTCTGTAATGTTATTAATTTTTTAGTTCTAATAGTTAATGTTGAAGGAGTAGGATCGAAATAATTTTGACTTCTTCCTACTCTTTTTCGGAGTAGCAGTACATGTTTAAATTTGTATTGTAGATTTTTGGTTTGGTTTGGCAGTATTTTTTTTTTATTTTTTGACTAAATGTTCAAAATAATCTTCCATCAATGTTACTCTACAGTCTCCACCCCAATGATGCCACACTTTCTCCTCGTAATGAAAAAAAATAAACATGATAATGTTAGCTTAGCAGTATTTTGCTCCACAGTCTTCAGTTTTCTGCGTTCGCGCCTGCATAGCAAATCCAGTTGTCAAAACTGGCAAATCGGGGCACATTTTCAAGAATCATAAAACAACTATGCATGGATTGACCCCCAAGTGCAGATTATTGACGGTGGTGATGTTTTTTTTTTTTTTTTTAACTGGTGAAATGCTCCCATCTTGTGGAGAAAATGCATCTCACCCAATTGAGGCGTCTGTGACCATCCTGGTTTAAAAATAGAATAGAAATCCTTTTCGTGTCAATGTTTGGTGACGATACAATGGCGCTGTAATATCAAGAGTAAAATATAGAATAGAATAGAAGTATACGATAACCTATACAAAATAAGATGCAATTTTTCTGTGCAAATAGTAGTTCGTACAAGTAGACTGCTACTTGCGTGAGAAATTCTATTGAATATAATTTAATATTTCAATGTAAAACAAGTAGCAGATTACTGGAGTGACTGTTGGCGATCATTTTAAATGTACATTTCCCACCGAAGGAAGAGGAAGGCGACGAAGGCTTCCCCGCTGATGTTCATCCACAGAACTACGCCGACTACTATGGCCCCTTCCTGAGAGACGCCCATGAGGAGAACCCCGAGAGCATCCTAGACGAGCACGTCCAACGTGTCATGAAAACTCCAGGTTGCCAATCACCCGGAACGGGCCGCCACTCTCCCAAGTCCCGCTCACCGGAGACTTTCAAAGGGCCGCCGCCGCCGCCCTGGGCAGCTCCGGGTAAACATCCTTCCAGGCAAGCTGTCAAAGGAGAGTCGAGTCACCACTGTAAGCATCACACCCACCAGTCGGAGTCACCTTGGGGCGTGGCATCCACAAACATGGAGCATGGAGCTTACGGGTATGTTTATTCAGCTAAGCCTGTGGTGTCTTCTTTTTCCCCACCCCTCACGAAAGATTGTGCTGTCATGCAGGAGCAAAGGTGGTGCACAGTGTAGACGAGCATTCAAGCGTGGGGAGGAAGCAGCAGCCCCCGTGGAAGACTTGGAGAAGAAGCAGAAGATCCTCTTGTGGCTAATGGAGGGACAGAAGGAGATGATCCGACACAAGAGGAGCCCGTACGGGTCAGTCACGATATTTGTTTTGTAACTTTCCAGAACCTTTTGGGAAGATCTCCTTGTGTTTTGCTACTCTACATTTCACATTGGTTTAGCGGTGAACATGGCCAGCCACAGCTCATAGCCGATTCTTGCAGTGATCATTTCTTCATGTCAAATCAAGAACATTTTTGATGCCTTTATCTTAATGCCAAATGCCACCTTCATTAATTTTTGGATGATATTGGTCTTGCATCCCAGTTTCCGTGCATCTGCCCATGCAATGACAAGAAATAATTTTGAGTTCTTTCTGCCCAAAGATGCATTGATGGGCTAAAAACCAAGTCTCTATCTTGCATTGTAGTAGCACCGCTTGCTCGAGGAAGGTCCCGGGCCAGCCCAGCTGCTCTTGGGACAACGTGCAGCCGTCACATCCTTTCATCCAGGACCCCACTATGCCCCCCAACCCTGCCCCGAGCCCCCTCATCCAGCTGGAAGAGGTCCGCCGGCGGCTGGCAGAGGAGAAGATGATCAAATCTGGAACGTTGCAGCCCAAGCAACGGTGAGCGGACGCAAACCTATTCATTGTTTTACAGTCCCCCGCTTTATCCAGGTTGACCTACTGTGGGCCCACTTTGTGGGAGAACATCCAAATATCTGGAGTCGAGTGGATCTGGAAAATTTTCACCAAAATAAACATAAACGGGGGTTCACTCTTCACCACCCCCGACAGAATCCTTTTCAGTAAAGGAGCGATGAAGGTGGAGCGCGTGTCTAACAAAGATGGCGGTTGTTGGCTCCTTCAGGTATGTGATGGAGGTGATCCAGCGGGGTCGCACTGCACTCAGGCCTTCATTGTTCCCGCCGCTCAGCGTGGTGCCCGCCGTGTCAGACTGCGAGCTTTCCGAGCCCGAGTACGTCCGCTCGCGTCCTCAATTTATTGTCCTTTACCCTTCCTGCATTTTTTTTTTCATGACTTGAAATTTCATTTTTCATCAATTCAACCATTGCTGCTATGATGCCTTTTTCCAGCAATGACTTTCTTTATTCGTTTTTCTGAAAACAACCCCATGGGATATTTATTGCATTGGCATGCTTGTGAACACCCTGTGAACATCCTCTCGTGGCTTGTGATTAAAAATGCTGCACTTCACTTGTCCATCAGTAGATGGCGCCCAGTTACAAGCATCCCTCACCTTGTACTTTGGTTGTTTTTTGTTTTTTTCGTGCCATACATTTACATACTTATGACGCTCCCATTTGTCTGTTTTATTTTTATTTTGTTCTTCTAAGCTTGCACTTCTTTCCCAGCTATAGCTAAATGATTTTGCCTAAATCCCTTGTGCTTTCATGTGTATCCTCAGGCACAAAGCGACTAAAAAGCAACCGTGCAACAGCATGACGGTGGCGTACTACTTCTGCGGAGAGCCCATCCCGTACAGGACCTCCGTCAAGGGCCGGCTGGTGACACTCGGCCAGTTTAAAGAGCTGCTGACCAAGAAAGGAAATTACAGGTCAGACTTAAATGATTTTGCTTTACTCAGCTGCGCAAAATACAAGTCAACTTTGCAGAAGAGTGTATCTAATAAATTTCTAACATTCTGAGCTCCAATCTTCACCATGTCCGAATGAAAAGCCTCCTTCTCCACCTCGCCAGGTATTATTTCAAGAAGGTGAGCGACGAGTTTGACTGCGGAGTGGTGTTTGAGGAGGTGCGCGAGGACGACGCCACACTGCCTACCTTTGAGGAGAAGATCATCGGCAAAGTGGAAAAGATCGACTGAGACACGGACGTGAGGAGGGGAAAACGCATGAGAGCGATCGATGAAGGTGAACAGGAAGTGGGTGGAAAGCAAAACAGGAAGTGCTTCATGGAGGCGTACGATGTAGCTTTGTAAAGTTTACTTCCGAAAAGCGCTGCCGATGTTTTTTTTTACGGTGTAATCACTGGTCCTTTTTAAAGTAACCGCACTTATTGTGATTCTTTTTTTAAATGTAATGATACCAGGTGTGTACAGTTTGTGGTAACCAATAACATTTATATCTATTTAACTATTTAAAATTTGATATCCTATTGACGCCCCGCCCCTCTACCCCCGATGAAGACGATCACAATCCTTTTTAAAAGGATTCTATTTATGACTTATTTCTAAATGCCACTTAAGTGTAATTTATTATTTTGTAACATTTTAGTCAGGCAGCACTTTGGGCGCCTCAGTTATGAAGACATGATTTGGGGGCTTCTTGTAGCAAGTCCACGATTGGGATACGTTATTCCCCAAAATTTGATAGACCACCCTGACGGTGTAAAATTGTTGTTGTGTTATTGGGCCATTCCATTCATTTCACCCAAGTGTTGGTAAAATGGCCTCTCACGAACACTGCGAGGGAGCTGTCAAAACAAAATTGCAATTGTAGATTTGAACATCTATGCAAGCTGCTTTCAAGTTATTATTAGAATTGGCCTGTTTGAGGTTACGGTCATCTTTTACATGACATATCGTATCATAGCATTTTTGAATGAAGGCTTATTCCAGCAACAAAATAAGTGCCTCTCATTTTGGTGCCTGGAAGGATGGTCTCCTTTAAAAGCCTTCTGAAAATGAACGCAGACTAGTTCAAAACTGTTTGGGGTCATTGTAACAGGTGGGAAGCCTCGTTGACGTTCATTGGTCAACATCCGTGACATTTGTTACGCTACAAAGATGCAAAGCTGAAAGGATGCACATGTTAAAAACATAAATAAATGTATCGCTTGAAATTATTTCGACCACTTATGGAGGTGATTGAGGGCAATACCTGAAATTGATTTTTTTCCTTATGACAAGCCTGTGTTGCCTCAAACGGGTTTTGAAGGCAATAAAAACAAATTATCATCATGGGAGCGGTTACTATTTGCTCCATGGCACCCCCTATAGGAGTGGAGGCTCATTAACTTGACAGGGGTAAATATCCATACGTTTTTTTTTTTTTCCCCCCAATGCCAAGATGACTGATGAATGTACACGCTAAAACACACACACAAATATTTGTCCAAGCACACTCGCGCCAACCTTAGTGCTTGTACAACTTGAGGGATGATGTCCTGGATGGTCGATCTTAGACCACCAAAGTAGGAGTTCTGGGGTTGCCATGGCAACAACCGTGCCCATTTTCTTTTGAGGACAAGCCAGTGTAGCATATCGCATGGACATGATTTTTGGAGCTGTTATTTTGAAGGTCAATTAATTACATATCAGGTTTGATTAACAAAAAAAAAAAAAAAAAAAAAAGCTCTGCATTTATAATATTCATTCAGTCATTGAAACTTGTGGCGTAGGAGGTGAGAATGTGTCGAAGCTCACAGAAGAGAAGTGTGCGAATGTCACAAAGTCTAAAGAAGGCTCAGAAATTGTTGTTGAAGGACACAGTGGGACGTCATTCACTTAGTGGCATGAAGTCTAAGCCGCTGTTGATGTTGAAGTAGACCTTGACGGTCTTATTATTCGTGTTGCTGCAGGGTAGGAAGAACCATGTGATGGAATGTCCACAAAGCTAATAATTTAGATACACGATATAGCTAATATATTTGTCATACTTTAAGGAAATAATTTAATTTATGGATGTCACTTTTCATGTTGTAGTCTTTTGTGAGAAGCCCTTTTATTTTCAAGCTCCCAAAATGTCATTCAAATGCATCAGTGACATCAGAGTGCCTTTTTATTGTTATTGTTATTATCATGATTATTGTTACTACTATTATTGTTGTTGTTTTATATGTAAATGTCCGCAACATGACGTGTCATCAGCCAGCAGCCCAGTCAGAACATTCATAACTTCACAAGAGAGAGGAGAGGGGGGAAGGTACCTGGCCAATAAAACCATTCAATACACCAATGCTGGACTATGCAGTATAATTACTCAAAAGTATTTGCTACTACTCCATTGTTTTGTTTTGCTTTTTCTTGGGCTCTTTTGTGACGCCATGACACAATAGAAATCAAGGTTAAACAAGATTTACACGTGACTAAAGATGCCACAACATGGCGACAAAGTACTACCTTTGAATAAATGTAGCTGTGCAACTTCAGCCATCATTTACCATTACAATATTAACAGTTAAATATGTTAGCTCAAAAAAAAAAAAGACCTGCGTCTCACACACACACACACACACACACACACACACATGCTTAATCCACACAAACGCACGTGCGTAACATTGCTATTAAAGCAATCACTTTTAATGGACTGCCCCTCGTCGGGGTGGAAAATTGCAACTGGAAATGACGCATTTAGTCGTCCTTAAAAACCCTCTAAGGAAAATGGCCGTGCGGTTGCTGGGGGCGACGACACGGCCCGCTTCCCACCCAAGCCTTGTCAGAGTTATCAGCTGGAATGTTTTTTGTAAGGAGCCGTGTCGGGTGACATCAACAAAATTGTCAGGGGCAAATGAAGACACCGGATTTTTAGTGGAAACAAATTTCAGTCAATTCGCCCCGTTTTTGACACAAATACAAACTTTTTTTCTGTTCAGGCATGTAATTAATCCAGAAATAGACATTTGCTACACTGCGTTCCAATTATTTGGATGTGTAAAAAATGATATTTTGAGAATTCATAAATCGCAATACTAGCTAAATTTTAGTGCGAAAAATGTCTGTATATATTCAATTCCAAGTTTCCTAAGTGGAATATTTTCCATTTTAATTTCCCTTTGAAATTTAGTATAAACATTCAGGAAACTACCCGTGAAAAGATCCACCCCTTTGCAACGCCACTCCACAAGATTCAATTTTCCATTGTACATTTATGCCACCTTGGAAGTACAATAAAGCGCCTACGCGGTCACAGCAAATGCATCAAACATGTCCACTTTGATGTAAATGAAAGAAACAAACAACACTCCTGTTCGGAACAGTCATCCTTTGAGAGGAAAATTGGTTGGTAATATACAAAAAAACAAAACACAAAGACATGGTTGAGGTAGGCCAAAGCGCGCGTAATTACACTGACATGTCGACGGAACGTCGGCAATATAGATTTTTGTTCAAGTGGCGATGACTTCAGTTTCTTTTCCAATATGCAGAAAATATAACATTTTTTCAAATTATACACACCGTGAACAAGTGCACTGGGAAACACATCCGAGTAAGTAGATCATAAATAACAGCAAAGAGAAACATGCCCATGAAGGAAAAGCAATTACGTGTGCAGATTTTTTTGTAATAGTAATAATAATCCGGGTATCACCATAACACTGGGATCACCTGATTATTAAAATGTGTACGTAGAGTATTATAAAACTGAGGCCGCAAAATAAGAAAATGATCAATATTTCCTTAATTTGCATGTGTAACACAAAACACAGTTCATTTCACTTATTCACGATGTATGATAGCACATGTTGCAATATGTGAAGCGTGTATTTTGGTCAAAATGTCACCATTCAAAAGCCTACACATTTTTTCAAGAAAATATGATTTTTTTTTTTTTTTTTAATACTCAAAGTCCTGTGTCGTCTTAGTGAGGCGATGCAGTTCGTATAAAGTGCGGATGATGGTTAAGGCCAAAAATGATGAAAGCACTCGAGTGTTAGGTTCACTAACGCAGCCAGTTGGGAACACGTGAAGTCATTTAAAGCCATTGTATGTTCAACTTGACTCTTTATAATTTGTATATATTTTGAAACGAGTATACTTGTAATACAAGACTTTTAAAAGGTATCTCAGCTGACTCATTCACACCAAGGCAATTTTAGCTATATTTGAGGACAACTAGATTTTTTTTTTAAATTTAAATCGTAAACAGTATATTTATAAATACAAATGGTAAGTCATAAATGGAATAATTTACTAGGTCAGCTACACCCGCACATACGGGATGTCATGAGTGAGGATTTTTTTTTAAAATGCAGTCTATGAAATACAATAAAATAAATGGACAAATTTATTTTAAATTATGTACACAATATTTCAAATTAATTAACGGTACAAAATCATTATTTAAAACGAATGGTACAAAAAAAATAAATAAAACACACACATCTTACAGAATATTTTTTGTTTTTTATGACTTATGATATATTTTGTGGTTGTTTATGAGGATTGGTCATTAGACACTCTGTTCTGTGGTAAGATACATTGTATATGTTTTTTTTTTTTTTTTTTTTTTTTAAAAACAACCCCCCTTTTTCCTCTTTTTTGTGCG